TGGAGACTTCTGTTAAAATATTTCACAATTGTGTAATTAAGCCACACAAATACGAGGTAACAATTTAAAATCAGTATTACACACATGGATTGATCTCTCAACGTTTTCAGTGTTCTTGGTAAGTTTGCGTATGCAAACTATGCAGTGGTGTGGAGACTTCTATTTTAACCTTCCACAATTGTGTAATTAAGCTACGCAAACAAATGGATTGATCTCTTAACTTCACATTGATTGAAGGCAGGCTCGAATGCCATTTAAAGGCTGTAAATCCCCCCTCCAAGCGTGCCTATTAAATAAAGGCTCGTAAATGGTCACACAGGAATGCTTTGATTACCCGGTGTGAAAGGACAGATCGACCAAAGGATGGTGAGCTTGCCATGGATTGATCTCTCAACATACTTTGAGATGCTATCCAAATCTCTCCTCTTCTTGTTCTTTGAGAGCTTCAGAGAGTTTAGGGATTCATTCAAGAGTTTCTTATCCTCAAAAGTTACCCATTTGGATTTCTAGAGTTCCCAATTTCTGTACCCTTCATCATTCTTTAATGCCTCTATTTATATGCTGATGACATGTGTCCTCTCCTGATAAAGACATAATCATAACTGGGTCGGGTCGGAGGAATGTCATTATCTTTTATAATAATAGTATAGATATAGATATAGATTTTGTATTACAGTTTTATAGAAACTCTTTTAATAATAGTATAGATTGAATTTGTAATTTGAATTTATAGAAACTCTTTTAATAATAGTATAGATCTATTAGGTAATTTGTAATAGTATAGATATAGATATAAATTTTGTGTTACAGTTTTATAGAAACTCTTTTAATAATAGTATAGATTTATTAGGTAATTTGTAATTTGAATTTTATTAATTTTTTTTAGAAACAAATAAATAAATAGGTAATTTGAATTTTATTAGTTAATTATAGAGTTTTATATCAATTAATAAATATTTTTTTATATTAATAAATAAATACTGAAATACTGAGACACTTTGTACATTTAATAATAGTATAGATATAGATATATAAAGTATTTTTTGTTGGTAGAGAATTTGGTCTAGCAGATGTTTTAGGCAAAGTTCAATGTTGGTATTTTATAAAATTTAATGACATGTACAAGTAAAAATTGCTTATGATAGCTTTAATTCAACCAACCCAATCCGTTAAACAATGATTTTATTTTATTTTAATGGATTAAACTTTTCTAAACAGTCCATTAAATCCTTTTTTTTTTTTTTTTTTTTTTTTTTTTCACTTGGACCGTGGTCCATTTGTTAAAAAAGAGAAAAATGAATAGGAAACTGGTGCTTCTACTTTCTTGTAACTGCTCTGAGCTATATAAGCAAAAAGAAAAATTGAAAAAACAAAATTCAATTTCCACGAAAACAAAGAATAAGTTGCAATTTCTTAAACCAGCCATCGCCAATTTGTCAGCTTCAAGTGCCAATGTCATGTCTATATAAATGCCAATGTCATGTCTATATACATAAATAGTACTCCATTATTAGTAATAGAGAGTATCGCGTGAGCTTTTCAAATAATTAGTAACTTTGAAATTTGAAAGATTTAATATTCATAAACTCTAATTTTAATTAATTAATTAATAGAATCTCTCTGTATGTATTTACGGAGGCGGCGTTGCACCCCATTTTCTTTTTACATTTGCACTCCTATTTAAAATGAAATAACATTTTCTTTTTACCCTACCCACAAAAAAGTTATAAATAAAGTATAGGGTTAACTGGAAAAAAAACCCCACTCTACTATCGATATAGTTTATATGTTTGGTAAAAAACCCTTTATACTATCAATTTGGTGTGATTGGGTCCTGGTGGTGTAAAATGATGATAATACCATCACTTCAGTTGAATAAATTAATGATTATAATACCGGCCATGTAAAATGACTTTTTTGTCTAAATTTGTATAAATTGGGTTTTGTTTGGCGGAAGGATAATATAAACCTCAAATTGTATAAAATAGGGATAACCTAATTAAATCTAAAACCAAACATGCCCTTAAACTTCTCTCTCCACAACCTCCCCGAGCATCTCTCTTCATCTTCTCCTGGAGCTTTTTCAGCTGACTTCACATGTTGAATAAGTTAAAGGGACTTTTTCCTTTTTTAGTGATGTCAAAGGAACTTGTTTTGCACAAAGCCTATATATCAAGGATTTTTTTTTGCACTTAACCCCTAAAGTATATCTACTTTGGCAGATTCTAAAAAAGGAAATAGTTATACATGTTGAATAAGTTATCTCTTTGACATCACTAAGAAAAATTAAAAAAAAAAAAAGAGTGTTCCAAAAAATAAAAAAATTAAAAATCTATGGTGAATAAACTCCTGTTTTGACACGACCGGTAAAAAAACAAAGAGAGAGAATATAGTAAGCAAAACAAAATGAAACAGCTCAGGAAAATAAAGTATCTTTATTGAATAAATTATCTTTTTGACAAGACCCAAAAAAAAAAAAAAAACTACATCAGTTGATAATTTATATTTGATATTACAAAAGGAAAAAATAAAATAAAATTATAAAGACCCAACAAAAGTTATACATCTTGTTGATAATTTATTTGTTTCGGTTGATAAATTATTTTTGTTGAATAAATTATCTCTTTTAATAAGACTCAACAAAAAAAATATCAAAAAAGAAGAAAAAAAAGAAGAAGTTATTTTTGTTAGATAAAGACCAAAAAATAAATAAATAAACAAAAAAATTGTAAAGGAAAGTAAATAAGGTAAAAAAGAAAGGAAAATTTAAATATAAAGGGTAATTATGGTATTTTCTTAAAAAAAATTAAATGATGCATTAATGAGTTTACGAAGTATTTTGGTTATTTTTTCTAATAGAAAAAGACAAGTAGAGTGTAAGTGTAGAAATATTATTATCAAATCCGTCACTAAGGGTTTGTTTGGTTAGCATGATTTTTTTTGTAAAAAATTTGTAGGAAAATGTTATTTCATTAGTTTGGTTAGCAAGACAGTAAAAAAAAAAATGATTTATATACCAAAATTACCCTCATGAATTCAATACTAAGTGAAATACATAATGCAACAAGGATAATAAAAAATATAAATAATTGTTTTATGTATAAAAATATGTGCGTGCATATATATATATATATAGAGTCCTAATTTGAAAAGTCAGAAAATTGTAACTTAATTAGGAGTCCTAATTTAAAGAGTTAAAAAGTTATAATATAAGTAGGAGTCCTAATTTATTAAAAAGAAGTTCGTTCCTTTTACAAGTCTAAAAAGAAGGAAGAGAAATAAGTACAGAGGGTATAATTGGAAACTAACACATGATGATACAACTTTTACGTGAAACTGAAATTTTCGCGTGTTTATAGAGAAAACATTTTAAGGAAAATCAACCAATTGCAGGAATATTACTTTTCTGAAAATTTTCCCTTACCAAATAATTTAAAAAATTTCCGTTTCTTTTCCTTTCCAGCTAGTTGACGCTAACCAAACTAACCCTAACGTTATTTTGACCATCAAACCTATTAAAATTGCGTAACCAGATAATGGTTATAACTATTAAACAATCCTCAAGAGTAATTTTTTTTTCTCATTTAATCACTCCCTCTAGGATAGTTGAGAAAAATCCTAGAATTTTTCTTTTTTCACACATGGTAAAGGATAGGTTTTTATGTTGAGATAATTGAAAATTAAAAATAAAAATAATATATATATATATATATATATATATATAATTTCATCCGGTTGATTGATAAAAAGTCTTATTTTCATTTTTTATAGTTGTATGCTCACAATTTCAGAATTGTTTTGAGACTACTGTGTTGTTATGCCACGTACATGTATTCAAACTTCCGGTCTTCGCTAAAGTACGACTTGAATTGACTTCAATGGTGCCAAATTAATCAGTCCGGGCCAGTGAATTCTAAGTAGACGCATTACTGATGTTCCAAATTTAAATTACATCGTGAAATTGCAGAGATATTGTATGATTTGTACACTTTTGGTACTCTGCGCAAAAACACGTCTACACCTTTAACAAGTAATGTGGAAATTGACATGCACCATGGCACAATGGAAAAAAAAATGCAATTTTTTTTAATATCAAAACAGTGAATTGGAGGGTGACACTAAGAGCCCGTAGTCCAGTAAAGTAGAAGATTGAGGCTTCAACACGTAAGCCTGTGAGGTTTTTTCCGAAATTAAAAGAGAATTAAAAATAAATAAAACAAAATTTCAGGTAAAAGTCACCTTGCCTCAAACTTGCGCGAGGGTTCAAGTTTTACCTACTGTACAATCAAAGTCGGTGTGATTATGATCCAACTACCTTTGATTCTTGAAAGGGTCAACAGGAAGACAATAGTTTGAAAAAAAAAAAAACACACAAAAAAACATACCATAACTAGCTGCAAGTTCTCATTGCACGATTTCCTGCTTGTTCGGATTTTAGATAGGATTTTCTTGAGTCTCGAAGGTACTGAGCCATTTCACTACAATTTGGTTGAAAATTGAAACATTGTTGAGTCTGAAGAATATGTTGATCTTAACTTCTTGATGTAACGTTTAGTGATTTATCAATTGCAGTGTTCAGCTGAGAAAGTATGGGCTACAAAAAAGCAAAGTGCTAATCAAATATATATTCAATAATTGACCAAGGAAGTCATGTGGATGACATATGATAACCCCTATATTTGTTCTTGGAGCAGGTGAAACTGAAACCAAAAACATTTCAATCATCAACAAATCCACTCCTCTCTCTCTATCTCTCTCTCTCTCTCTCACACACACACACACACACGCAATACACATTATGATGCAAAGAGTGTAAAAGGCTACAAGTTGACATGGTCATGTGCATGTCTATAAAAGGTATCTTCTTCTGAGAGGATTTGGTAGGAAGAGTGGTTGATTTGATCACATGAGTGAGCTCTATATATATGTACAACTAGTACAAAGCAAATATCAATCAGCAAGCCCATCAGAGAACTTATTCCTAGAGTCTTGAGTTATCAATGGCTTCTTACAAAGTTGTGTTCAGTCTTGTAGTAATGGCTTTTTTGTCTTCCTCCCCCTCCATGGCTTTTCCAGGTTCAAATTTTGGGTGGGGTAGCCGGGGTCCTTTCTGGGGAGGGTATTCCGGTCTTTCCCCAGAGTTCTACCAGTTCTCTTGCCCTCAAGCTAATGACATTGTCATATCAGTCTTGGAGAAAGCCATTGCCAAAGAGCCTAGGATGGCTGCCTCTCTTCTTAGGCTCCATTTCCATGATTGCTTTGTACAGGTTCTGGTTTTACAATGTCTAACACACACACACACACACACTTGCATGCACACATACATATATAGGTTTATAAAATAATTTGGTTTGCTCATGCTACTGTTCTAAGATGTTTTTATTTTTATTTTATATTGTTCTCAAACATGCTTTTCATTTAATAAGGATCAATGTTCCAACTTTAAAATCTGCAGTACTACTCTGTTTGAGATGTCAGTCATGGTGTGGCTTTTTTTATATAAAATATTCTTATTATTCTTCTTTAATGTTTTGATTTATTTGTCTTTTATTCATTTTTTAAAAGTATGAATTTACAGGGTTTTATCCAAATAAGTCTTATTTCATTTGCCACCACCCTCTTGAGGACCTCCTGTTGTTAATTTGTTTAGGAAGTAGATATTTTGAAATTGTGTCACTGCTAGTTTACTTTCAATCATAAGCTCAATCCTGTTGTTAATTTGTTTAGGAAGTTGATATTTTGAAATTGTGTCACTGCTAGTTTATTTTCAATCATAAGCTCAATTGTGTTGATTTTGTAGGGCTGCGACGCATCGGTCTTGTTGGATGATACCTCGAACATGGCCAGCGAAAAGAGGTCAGGACCAAACCAGAATTCCCTTAGAGGATTTGAAGTGATTGACGAGATCAAAGCTAAGCTAGAAGCTGCATGCCCTCGGACCGTCTCTTGTGCTGACATTCTAGCCCTTGCTGCTCGAGGTTCCACCGTGCTCGTAAGCAACTTGAGAACTTGAACTTGAACTTGAACTTAGTAATTTTTTTTTTGGAATGGCACATCCGACTATATTTATGTACGTGGTGTGGCATAACAGAGCGGCGGACCAAATTGGGAACTGCCACTGGGAAGAAGGGACTCCAAGACAGCTAGTCTCAGTGGCTCGAACGCCAACATTCCTCCCCCAAACTCCACCATCCAGAACCTCTTAACGCTCTTCAATCGCCAAGGCCTCAATGAAGTGGACCTTGTTGCACTCTCAGGTATGCATTTTGTTCTCAATAATAAATAGTAACAAAGGCTTCTTGATTTTGTTACACCGAAGGGCCTTTAAGCTCGTGCGTGGGCAAAATGGTGTGTGTTTGCTTTACCATTCCGGAATGAAAAAAAAAAAAAAAAAATGTTTGTTGATTTTGATGGATTTTGTTTCATAGGGAGTCATACAATTGGGGTGGCAAGGTGTGTGACATTCAAGCAGAGGCTGTACAATCAAAATGGGAACAACCAACCGGACGAAACCCTAGAAAGGACCTACTACTTCGGTCTGAAATCAGTTTGCCCTAGGTCCGGTGGCGATAACAACATCTCCCCGCTGGACTTTGGCTCTCCAGTGAGATTCGATAACGCATACTTCAAGCTCATACTGTGGGGAAAAGGACTTCTCACTTCTGATGAAGTGCTTCTGACCGGAAATGTTGGGAACACTAGGGAGCTGGTTAAGAGCTATGCTGATGATGAAGGTCTGTTTTTTAGCCAGTTTGCTAAATCCATGGTCAGAATGGGGAACATTAGTCCTCTCACTGCCAACAATGGTGAAATTAGGAAGAACTGTCGTCGAGCTAACTGATGAACTAATTATCCACCTCGTAAATAATGTATGGTGGATTTGTGAGATGTTCTACTTTCTTAGAACTTGAATTGCTGTGAAGCTTGATAATTAATCTGTCTTTGAAGTGTGAATGAATTAGAAATTTGTAATGCCTTGAAAGCTACTAGTATTACATTACTTTCTTGATTAAAATGTGCAAGCTCAATTACAGTGGATATTAGTATGCCTCAATTACATCTAAATGACCGTTAAAACTCTGACAAATTATAAAAACGAAATTTGAAGTCTCCGGTTTCCCTCCAGTGCCATGAAATACAAGCATCATAATCTCTATCACCAATTCACCATAGAGTACTCAATCGATTAAGATGCCTGCTCATACACTGTGTGGAAAAAAAAATAAAAACTGTAGGTATAAATAGGCGACAATCATTCAATTGTTCTTCTAAACACCCTGAGAGCATATCGGACTTAGTCACACTCCATCAACCCATATATAATTATGGAATTGATGTCTTAAAAATAAAAAATTAAATCACGACTTTCATACAAGTAAAAATTTATAATTAAAAAAAAAAAAAAAAAAAAAATTTATACATTAAGTAATTTCATTAAGTTTAATTATTACAATCATTAAAATTTCTAGATCCATCCCTATGGGTACTCACGTGACCAATATTTTCTAGCAAGACTTTTTAAATCCAATTTCAAAATCCCATCAAACGATTGATCTACCAAGGAACGAGGACTAAGGACTTAAAACAAACTGTAGTTCAGTGTTACATTGCACGAGTGGTGACTGGTGAGTAGCAAAGTGTCCCAGTAATGTACAATATTTATACCAAACCTATGGACAAAATGATTCTTGGAAGACGGTGTCGTTTTGTATCTTCAGTAAATGGTGTTCTGATTGGCGTTTGCGGACATACGCCTTAAATCAAAGATCTAGTCTAGCTGGTGGTGGTAACTACTGTGAACTACTCCACAGTTTTGCTCAAATCGAAGATCGAAACCCTAGAATAATTGCAAGGATCTGTAACGTGATAAAGGGCATTTGAATTATATATGTGTATACATGAACCGTAGAGATTATACGATAGTATGGCGAAGCATTCGACGGTGTTGATCTCATTACGGAAGAGATGGCCAATGATGATTCTTGTATTGTTCTCGCTCTCCACTGCCATCGTGTTCTTCACCAGAGCTTCCTTCGATTATTGTAACACTCATCATTACGAAGACGATGCAGACAACAATATTCGCACGACTGAGCGAGTCGGAACCCAGGAAAATCCACTTAGTTTCATGAAATCAAAGCTGGTTCTCTTGGTTTCTCACGAACTCTCTCTTTCTGGTACACTTCCTCTCCCTCCCTCTCTCTATATATACATATATAATATACACGCGCGCACACACACACATATACGCAAACACAGAGAAAGGAAAAGAATGTTAAAGTATTGCCAAGGAAATAAAACAATTTTGTAGAATTTTATTTCTCTGTCTTTTCTCTCATTCAAACAAACAACATCATTCAATTAATTAGGATTTTCAAAAGAAATGGCACAATAATTATGCTTTTTTTTTTTTTTCCTCTATGTTGTTGCTATAGTTGATGTTGAAGGTGTACTTCCAAATTTTGATAAAACATGGCTTAAATTAGCAGTATTTGACAGAGAGGTAGGATAAAAAGAAAATTGAGTTGGAATCTGAACCTGGTATAACAATGCGGTCCCCATAATTTGGTACTATGAATGGGCATTGTATTTTCGTCAAATTGCTTCTTGATATTTTGGGAACTAAATCAGAACCATACACCAAACAATAGAACTTGTGATGGTTGATACAGCAATTTGGATTTGAATGTAATAGCGATGATAGCTAGTAATGTTGTTTGAATTGGTAACATTGGTTAAATTTGATTATTTGTCCAATGTTGGCATGTTGATAATTCAAGTGCGCCCTCTGGCCACATAAGATTTGATATCAAAGTTTCATGGTGGCATCATCTGCTCCATCATTTTATTTAAGGGTTTTTTTTTTCAGCTTCGGTCTTTCTTTTATGTATTTCACTTTTGACAAAGTTATTCATGTGGGAAAATGAGAGAGACATGTTGAGAATGAGGGTTTTATCAGGTCATTTCTAGCAAAGCTATTTATTTTCTAGTTTATAGTGGCTGTTGTAACACTGTTATAAGAGTTACTAAAGAGGGAGTTGAAAGATTATGATGATTTTTGGAATTTATGTAATGTCCGTCATCTTGTTGACTACGTTCCTAAGTGAACAATTTATTGTTACCTTTTTTTTTCCTAGTTGGTACTTACACATACATGTCTCTTCTGAGACTTGAACCCTTGACCTCTCTTTGGGAAGCAAGAGACCGATACCGCTAGGCTACTGGCCCGTTGGTTTGTTACTTTAGCATTATTTGATTATAGACAAATAATTCCCACAATGAATTACTATTAAATAATAACAATTCATTGAAAACTAGAACAGTTTGATATCTTCACTGAACCACTTCATATTTATAACAGGAAGTAATGTATCAAGTTTCTTTATTGTTAAAGACTAATTATGTTAGTTTGTACATATATATGTTTTATTTATTTATATTTTTGTATAGTTTTATATTTTTTATTCTTCCTTCTTGGGGGAAACATATAATGAATCTCTCTTTCTCTCTCTCTCTCTCTAACGCAGTATTACTGTAGACATTGTGCTGTCTTTTACAATATTTTTATGCAAGAGGTATTAAACTAGCGACATCTGTTAACAGGTGGACCTTTACTATTGATGGAACTAGCATTTTTGTTAAGAGGTGTTGGTACGGAAGTTGTTTGGATCACTAACCAGAAACCAGCAGAATCAGATGAGGTGATTTACAGTTTGGAGCAAAAGATGTTGGACCGAGGAGTACAGGTACTAAAAATTTCATTTGGCCAAAAGGTCATCTTAACTGTCAACAACAAGCTTTCATATTTTGCAATTTACCTGCTTTCAAATTTTTTATTTGAAAAGAGAGCTGCATACAGATTGTATTTGAGTCAGCAGATTTCAGTGGTTCATAAATCATGAACAATGGTTTTGATTTTGTGGATGTTTAAGTTCATCTTTGAAGTAGTTTGTAGATTGTTAAGAATAGTAAATTAGGCCCAAATTGTCGTGTGAATCATCATTTATGGAATTGGAATTTGGCTCTTGTGGAACTGTTGGTTGTCTTTGCGGTGGCATGTAGATTTTTAAAAATTATTATCTCTATGCAAATTCTAATCTTGCAAATCATCATTGGAAAATTGGACATCAAATTTAATTTGTGTTCAACTTGCTTTGTAGAAACACTTTCTTATAGTGATAACTTCTCGTTTGTTTTTGGATAAAATATTCTGAGGACTATATATATATATATATATATATATTGGTTGGAAGCTTTTGAGAATTAGATAATGTGAAGGGATTTACAGGATTAGGAAACCATTCTTTTGAAATTTACTTCTGTTGGATATCTATCAAGTTTTTGTTAGTTGGTGTAGTGGTGGTGGCGATAGTGTGTTTGTGTTGGTTTGTGGTTTTGTTGATAGCACGACCATGGTTGTCGCAGTGGTGGCTGTGATGACAATTATATTGCTAATTGATTACTCACATCTTAGATGATAAATCTACCTTGGGATTTTAATAAAGAATTTTTGGCACTCCAAATCCTTAAATCCCTAGATAGTGTGTTTGTGTTGGTTTGTGGTTTTGTTGATGGCACGACCATGGTTGTCGCAGTGGTGGCTGTGATGACAATTATATTACTAATTGATTGCTCACATCGTAGATGATAAATCTACCTTGGGATTTTAATAAAGAATTTTTGGCACTCCAAATCCTTAAATCCCTAGATAATGTTTTAATTATCTCCTTGTGCAAATTAATGAATTAAGGAAAAAGGAACATACCAATGCATCTTCACCTTTATCCAATATCTCATTTAAACACTACCTATCATCACCATCATTATTTTGCTTCAGGCTTTGTCTGTAGTGACTGTTCGCTTCTTTGTTTCAAAGAACGTTATGTCCAACAGAATGAATAAATTGGTTCTAAAACATGTAACTAATACCCCTCCCCTTCTTTCTAATCCTGATTTATCAACGAGATGTGTGTGCATGATACTTTATAGTATGACTTAGTTAGCAGGAAAGATCATTATTATTATAATTTTATAAGTGAAGTATTAATATAAGGCATTCAAAAAGGGAACCATCACTCAAAAACAACAGAGGGGCCAAATAGGGCACCTAAACCCTTGAAGCATCCATCAATTATGTTAATTATGTATTGCGAAATATGGTAAAATGTCTCTCATTTATGATAATAAGGTGTAGGTTCATGTCTTTGTCATGCTCTTCAGCATTTGGTCATGAATGACGATATTAATTATTTAATTAGTTTCAAGGGTGTGTTGCAAATGTCCTGAACTGCAATTAATTCAGCTTTCAGAAGTCCCTAATTGTGTGATTTCTGAGATTTATTCTACACTTACCTTGAGAAGGGTCCTCATCCTGTTGAATATGCTTCCAAGGAGTGCTTTCTACTGAAAATGCAATTGAAATTTTTTTGAACCCCAGCGGCAGGGGAAATTTCTTGGACAGTTTGTTTCCATATTAGTTTTGTTTGTAGAATTTCATTGATATAACCTCTACTCTGTGTGTGTGTGTGTTTGTGTGTGTGTTCGTGTGTTTGTGTGCTCATGCTTGTGCACATAGTAAAATTACTATGTGGTTCTTTCATTTGAATTTTGATGATCTAGCTATAAATTGGTGAATTTTATTTCAGAATGAATCAATAATTGATGTACTTGCCTTTTTTTTTTTGGCCTTTCCTATAGAGAAGCACTTATGTTTTTTAACCACTGCCTTTGTGGAGCTCTTGATTTTTTTTGGACTTAACTCTAAACTCTTTCTAGTTTAGTGTTGGCTAAAATCTGTTTTCTTAATTTTCTTTCTCTCATCTTGAATGGGTGATTTGGTCTTTGTTGCACAAGTAAGGAATTACCATTTAATTGTGAGTATCCTAACTGTTTTAGGTATTTTCTGCAAAGGGTCAAAAAGCTATAGATGCAGCTCTTAAAGCAGATTTGGTCATCTTAAATACAGCTGTTGCTGGAAAGTGGCCGGATGCTGTTCTCAAGGAAAATGTCCCTCGTGTTCTTCCAAAGGTTTTGTGGTGGATTCATGAAATGCGAGGGCATTACTTTAAAGTGGAGTATGTCAAGCACCTCCCTTTTGTTGCAGGTGCCATGATTGATTCACATACGACAGCAGAATACTGGAAGAACCGGACTCGTGAGCGTTTAGGGTATGCTTCTGACATCTTTAGTTGTACCATATATTGCATTATTCAAATCTTTTGCTATCCTCTTTTGCCATGAGGCGGGTACATTCACATACGTATAATGTACTGAGGTTCTTCTGTGGCTTTATCCTACGTGTGTTTTATCTTAAAACTTAAAAGTGTTCGATAGTTCGACCAATTAGGCCTTTTCGGAGTTCCTATAAATGTTGTACAAATATGTATTGAGTATTTGCATTTTTATTTGCCATCACAATAAAGAAGAATGAGAAATGCATTCTTCACTCCATTTACAGTCAGCACAGCTGCTTTTATCGTTTTCCACATGACATTGTTTAAATGGATTCTTTTTCTTTTTCATGGTTAAACAACAATGAAATTGGTGATAGTCGCTAAAAACATGGGAAGCTGAATACCACTTTCCTTGTACAATGTAAAGAATCTCCAGAATGTGTCGGCAACTAATGGTATGAATTGCTTCAGTCATGCTTAAGCATGTGTTGAGTGCCAATACTCGGACTATTTGCCACCACCACGGGCCGCCTTGGGATGCAGCAATGATGATTGATGCTCTAATTATGTCTTGCAAAATACTTTACAACTGGTAATACTTGGGTGAGGTGATATAAGGGAACATTGCTAGGAACCAACATTTTTGTTTTTGAATGTAAAATATCTTTTCAGAAAACTTTTTTATTAGAAATTGTGTCTAGGAATTATTTGAAACTTCTCAATCTCTATTTGGAAGTTTGGGATTTTGGATCCTGTGGACTCTTTGATGCATAAACCCATCTCATTTTCCCTTGTACTCTTTCATTTGATTTAGAAACACTTGGTCCTGTTAATAAGGAGCCAGCTTTTTGGTGGTTGAAATCGTGAAGGTTTCTAGCACCTTTACTTTAGTTCTTTGTTGATTATGAATATATCAATTTTATGATATGCCTTCTTGAGTTTGAAATAGTCAGTTAGACTTTTGGATGCTTGGTCCTCATGCAATGCGCCATAGTAACATTGCTGACGGTGTCCTTCTACACGGGGCTTGAGTTGGAAAGCCTAGGCCCTAAGATCATTTGAACTTGGACTGAGTTGAGATGTGGAAGAATCCAGTTCAACTTTGGTTCTCTTATAGAAGAAAAACCTGCATCAGGGTACCTAAGCTACAATTTCAACCTCTTATAGGCTATTTTTTTTGTTGTCTACTTCCAAACCAAAGCACATCTTCTCATGGGAGGCACCATTTGTCTTCTTTGAACATTTATATTTCAGCTGGATTAGTTCTATGCTTCCTTGTCACCCGTCATTCCATAATTTATCTTAATGTTTTCTTATATGCAGCACCTTTAACATTCATAACTCAAGATTGAGTTCGTTGATTAGTATCTCCCCAGGGTAAAATTTCCCTATAGTGACTCATTAACTCCCTTAGCGGGTCATGTAAAATTTAAATTTACTCTCTGAAAATTTTATTATACTTTAAGAAGCCATTTTAAGTTTTGACTTTTGATGTAGTAGTAGGGTCAAATGATCTGATATGTAATGACATACTCTTTACTCTATTTACTGAAAAACGTGGATTCTTGTTATGTTTTTTGTATTTATGTTGCAGTATACTCTCTTACAGCAGCTTCCTGTCGTCAACTTTACCTAAGATTTATGTTTCACTTTCACATGTTTTAGGATTAAAATGCCTGAGACCTATGTTGTGCACCTTGGGAATAGCAAAGAATTGATGGATGTAGCTGAAAACAGTGTAGCAAAAAGGGTTCTCCGTGAGCATGTCCGGGAATCTCTTGGAGTGCGGAATGAAGATCTTCTCTTTGCCATCATCAATAGTATGCTTTTTTAGTTGATGATAATTTTTTCCTCGGTTAGTTTGTTACAGAAATTAAAAGTTGATATTGTTGTGCCCACTTCTTTTTTAGGGATAATGTTACACCTTTCGATTAAAGGAACTAAGCTTCTTTTCTGGTGCAATGGTTGTTAAGTAGGGCTTGAGTCCATATCTGACTACATCGAGGGTTCAGTTTGACCTTAGTATTCTTCATGACCTTGGGTGTGCAAATTTAGATTGCCTCGTACATGTGTCCTTGTATGCTTGGTGAACCATAGTTTCTGAGAAGTGGAATTTAATGCACCTGCTTTTTTATTTGCATTCCTTGGTTTGCAATAATTGGCATGGACTCTTCTATGTAGGATAAGTGCCATGCTGGAAATGACATCCATTAAGCACACTTGAATATGTTGCAAACTATAATTAAATATGTTACAATTTGAAATATATATTTATTGTTTTTAAATAGACAAGGCTAGCAAGCGGTTGATTGTGAATGCTGGTTTGAAACCTTAGAGAAGCCACTTTGTGAAAATATTATCAAAGGTTAGATCTGTATCTAGTCCATCCCCTCTAACACCCTCGATTAAAGGAACCAAACTTGGTAATGTCCCTTTTAAAAGGCTAGCAGGTAGCCAATATTGTTGGACATTTCTTTCGATATATTTGGGCACATGCCTTTCATTCAAGTATAGAAGAGGAATATTGCTGTAAGGAAAAAAAATTAGGGGCTTGTATAAAATATTTCAAAAACTCAGGCATCTTTTTAGAGGTCTGATCTTGTCAAAACCATGTCCTATGTCCAAGTCTATGCAATGGTGTGACCATGTGAGAAGCTTAAAACACAATCCATGTCCCATGTCCAAGTCTGTGCAATGTGGACTATCTTGGATGTGAGAGAGTCGAAATGCTTGCTCTGAGAAAATATTTAGGGGCTTCTATAAAAAATTCAAAGACTATTGAAAAAAAAAAAAAAATCAGTGTCAAATAAAACTGAGAGTTTGATGGAAGGAAGATAGAAAATGGAATTAATTGTTTGTCTTATCCTCACCATGCTCATGTTTCTATTTTCCATTAGTCCATGACAATGTGTCTTTATCATGTCAAATCCTGATATAGACCCAGCTATTGAGTTATAGTCTCTTGTTTTTTTATTTTTTTTTATTAATATTTTTTTTTTTAAAGTAAAGATTGTATAAAGAAGCATTCAAAAGGGGAACACAGCCCTCAGAAAATACACAAGGCCTAATAGGGCCTCTAAACTCTCAGAGAGTCCAAAAAATCAACTACGCCATGAACTCTCTTTTCACGACACTTTGATATTGTGTTATGGATCTTGTTTGCTAACAATGATGCATTAACTTGTTTGCCCTTATTTTGGAAGTTGATTTTATTTCCCCACCTTCCAATTGTATGGTGGCACTTGCTACAACTTTGTTTCAAATTTTTCACTGAGCATTAAAGTTGAATACAGATAGTCAATAAAATTATTGATTAAAGAGATATATAGCAGCACCAAAAATTCCGGATATTGCTAGATGTTGACAGTGTTTTAGAAAATTTGTAAAAATTAATTAAAAAAATGTAAATAACATGGATAATATCAACTGCGATATCAACGTCTTAAAATTATGGAGACAAATTTCAATATTTAGTGTAATAAAGAAAGATGAACATTTCTAGGGAGGAACCTTGCAATATGTAGATATTTATGAAACTAAGAGGTATGGACACTTTTAAGGACTAAGGAGTCATGTCCATGCTAGGAATGTGTGGGATACCAACACTTCTCTGACTCTCTTGGACATGTGTCTAAACATTTTGACGTGTCTATAATTTAAAAATGAAATTCTTAATTTCGGACACATAACCTGACACCTTTTATACCCATGTATAACTGATGAATCATGTATATTGGATAAGATTTTATTTTAGCTTTGAAAAATTAATAATTATGAGAAAAAAAAAAAATTATAGGTTTATATAAAATTTATAGAGTCCGTCCATATTAAAAATAATTTTTTTTATTAAAGGAGCAGGCATGGGTGATGGAGAGCACTAGTCAGATTCTGCGTATGTGTACATATACATATGTATATGGACATAGACATATATGCTGAGTCCTTGTTATGACTTTCTTTATACGCCCGTAGTGATTGTGAATATATAATTTTTAAGTTATAAATTTCATGTACCCTTAGATATTAGATATAGTTGTCATTCAGTAATGTTTGCGTATATTAAATAAGTTTATGGGATGTGATATCCGAACTCCACTTTTGTATTCTTGTACTCCGGTTGATTTATTAATAAAGGAAATGACAAATGACATCTCAAAAGTGGAGATAAGAATACTTCTTAATTTCTTGTGATAGTTCGAATGTGAGAATCCTTTTGAAGGACGACTGTTTAAATTTTTTATTTTTTTTTAAAAAGCAAGTGGCGTGCAAGAGTACAAATGTCATTTTCCTAAATTTTATCTATAAAAATTGTTTGTATCTTACTTTTTTAATAAGTTTGTAGTTTTGGCTTGTCCTTGTGTCATGTCTGTATCTTATATTTGTACCAATGCTTAGTATTTCATGTTGGTAATATAATTTTTACTCTCTTCTGTTAGTATGACATTCAAGTTCTTCATTTATATAGTTCCATGTGGCTTCTATATATTTTAAGCGGTACATAACTGCAGGTGTTTCACGAGGGAAAGGTCAGGATCTATTTCTCCGTTCCTTCCATGAAAGTTTGCAACTCATCCAAGAGAAGAAACTGCAGGTGCCACCAATGCATGCAGTAATAGTAGGAAGTGACATGCAGGCTCAGACCAAGTTTGAAACAGAACTGCGTAACTTTGTGGTAGAGAAAAAAATTCAAGATCATGTACACTTTGTCAACAAAACCCTGAATGTAGCTCCTTATCTGGCTTCAATTGATGTCCTTGTTCAGAACTCTCAGGTGCTTTCTGCTGATTCATACTGTCAATTACCTTTTACCTTTTTTATTTTCAACAAGCAATTACGTTTTTAATTTAATATCACGACTTGCCTTTTCCCTTCATATTTTGTTCATTGTCTTTTTTCATGCTATGAATTAAATCATAAGTGATCTATGAGCTGATAAAAGGAGTTATTGTGTTAATTGGGAATTTATTACAAAGTCCTAAAGGATAATATTTTTAAAAAAATGATGTTCATGTTAATAATACTCTTTTCTTTACTAAATTGCTATTTCTGCATTTGAGTTGAATCTAGCCTTAAGTGCTATTCTATGATAATGTTGGATCCGAGTAAGATTGGTGTTATGTTATGGAGTTTGCTACCTTTTTGTAATATTTTTTAAATATATGGAAGTACACTAATTGAGAACCAGATAGTACACACCCATGTAACCATGACCTTGAAACCATACAAATTATATCATTGCATCTAAAAAGATAGATAGATCTAGAAAACAAAGATTCCATTGTGATCCCAAAGAAAAGGAGCTCAAAACGGAAACTTCAATCTCCAAATAGGCATCTCTAACCCATAAAAGGGTTGTCTGAACCTCTGGCACAGAATACTCCACCCCAAGCAGAGAGTCACATCTTGCCGAATTGCTTTGACTCACTCACTTATCCATATCTATCCTTTCAAACTTTTCTATGTATCAACTACTGAACTAGCTAATCAAATGGATCCAAAAAGAGAGAAAAGAAAGGCGATATGTCCCACACAACTGGGCAATGCATCAACAGATGGTTCACTAACCCCCTTTCCTTCTAAGCATGCAACAGTGTTTCACAATAATTTTTCACCTCTTAATCAGATTACAACAAGGATCTCCCTTCTCAACATCCTATAATAGATCAGACTTCAAACTGGTTGTCCCAAGAGGCCATTCATCTCAAGGCCATCCCCACCTCAATGTGCTGTAAATAAAAGGAATCTGAGGAAAGTGATAATTGCCTTACAGTTAATCCTGAGTGATCAACTAGAGCCTTTTTATTATGTTGAAAAGTCTCACGTAGGTATTCCTTAAAAGGATCCTTATTGCAAGTTGAGACAGTGGTCATACTAGAAAAGGGTTCCCGTCCCTTTTCCGTATCTCAAAATGCTTAGAGAATTTCCCTCATCACTTCCAATTGCCTTTTCACAACCTCATCCCATGAGTGGTTCGAACTTCCCGAGAATGCTCTCCTGTCAGCATCATGCTTATTGTCCAACTCTCTAGACTCTCCTTTAAAGATTGTTCCTCTCCTTTGCAAACTTGTACAACATTTTTCGAAATGCACTAGGTTGAGTGAACAGATGTTTTTAATCACCACCAATCCACCATCCTTCATTAGAGAGACCACAGAGTCCCATTTGACCAAATAATACTTAAAAATTTATCCCCTATGCCTCCACTTACAACTTTTACATGCAAAGAACTAATTGTTGACTTGCAAAGTTTTGTCCAAAGCTTTTAATCTTGCAAAGAACATAGTTTTTGGAGGAACTGTTTTGAGAGAAGCCGCCTACTTCTAAGTAAGAACCTAAAGAATTACTTTACTGAATATTTGCCCCTTTATGGACTCCTAAACCTTGTTGTCTGATTCTGAGTATTGTTCAGTAAAATATCATGATAGATACACCAAAATTTGATGAAGGTAAATATGCGAATCTGTTTAACATTTGTTGCTCCCAGGTGCCATTTAGGCTGGATATAGAATGTAACTCTTCCCTACTATTATTGTCTTTTTCAATTTGTGGTTTCTTTTATTAATCTTGGTCTTCCCTTTCATGACATATGTTTGTCAATATCAATTACGCTTTGATGCTGAAGTTCTAGCAAATTCTTGTGTAGGCACGAGGGGAGTGCTTTGGGAGGATAACTATCGAGGCTATGGCTTTTCAGCTGCCTGTATTGGTAAGGCCTAAACTAAATTCTGAACTCTCCTCCATTTGTTGATGATTTGTGCTCAGTTTGTATACCAATATGCTTGAAAATAGTCTGGTGTTTAATTGGTTTCTTTTGCATGCATGTAATGTGCCTTCCTTTCAATTTTTAGCCTTTGTAAAAGCTTTCCGCACTCCAAACTAGGCTATAATACATGCTTTATATAAAGGACTGGAGTCTCTGGAGATTAAGGAAACTTGGTGACCAAGTTTGATTATAGAAATTGGATCTTTATTCAATAAATTTGACCCTCCATATGTAACCCAAAATACATAGATAAGCTCTTTTAAAAAACAAGAAAATAAGAAAATAAAATTTAAAAAAAAGTCCCAACATGGCCCCATTTCTATGGCCTTAAACCGAATTACCAAGATACCCTTTATACAGAAGAACTTTATAAACTAATATAACCAGATTTGTACTCGGTCCATACTTCCCCACAATCTCAATTAATCGGGATCAACTAGGTAATAATCTCCGCCACCCCCAACCCCACCTCCAATGTCACCTGTCTTGCTTTTTCCTTTTTCATTTTGTTTAAAAAGTTTCCTGTCATATGACTTTAATTAATTTTCATATTTAGTTTTGTGTTGTGGAATGCAAGGAGATTATTCTATTTGTTAGAAACTGAACATGGAGATGGGATAATATTGTATTTGCCTTGAATAGTTGAATGTGCAAAGTAGGATGGAGATGTGGTCACTGTTCTTGCTCTAATGTTAAACACCCTATGTTGTGATCTTCAAATTTTGCAGACCAACTATTGTTTTGGTATTTCTACGCAAACTACCATGCTGTCATGCCACCCGAATTACTGCTAAATACGCTATGCAGCTAGCCAAATGAATCCCTTTTACTCAGAATGGTATTATTGATTCTAGAAATGTATGAATCATGCATTTATTCCTCTTTTAGAGGTGACATACTTCTTTTATTTGGTTGGGTAGGTTCGTCTCTCGTGTGTTTATTTGAACGTGTATGTGTTTGTGGCAGATTCTGCATTCTCATTGGGCAATTGATGGCATTATTTTTGTATGTTATTTTGTATGACAGGGCACAGCAGCTGGGGGCACAATGGAAATTGTGGTAAATGAAACAACTGGATTGTTGCATCCAGCCGGGAAAGATGGTGTAGCACCACTTGCAAAGAACATTGTCCAACTAGCCACACATGTCCAGACGAGACTGACAATGGGAAAGAGGGGTTACGAGAGGGTGAAAGAAAGGTTCTTGGAACATCACATGTCACATAGAATAGCTTTTGTGCTGAAGGAGGTGTTGCAGAAATCAAAGAGCCACAGTTATTCTTAGATTGCAAAAGCATGTGTACCATTATGTCTTGAAATATTTTGATGAGCTTGCATTCTTTTGGGGGTTACGGCCGTTACGGGTATTGTGGAAGATTGTCCTATCATGAGTTTAGTAGAGGGCAATTCCCATACTACTGAAAGGTCTTTTGTACCACATGTAACAAGAAACTTTGTTCATTGAAAAGGTGAGTTGCCAAATAGTAGTCATTTTTTCTTTTTGCATAATCTACAGATGTATACCTAGAAGTTCATTAGTTAATTTCTTGCACTCAATCTCTTTTTATTGGGAATTTGCATCAGTTTTGGAGCAATATAGGATGGTAGAAATCAAGTTATCAAGAAAAGGGTGTTAGAACTAACTTATCAAGATACATCAATAGAATTTAGGCCTCCTTGGTTGATTAATTTTATACCCTACAAACTGTTCTCTGTGCTGTTCTGGCATTCCCAGGCTTGGGATGGTGTCCTTCAGTCCTAGGTTGTAAACGAGTGTGACCCACTTTTATGGTCTATTGTTATCTTCTAACCTTTATGTCGCATACAATATGGCCTAACATGAATTCAAAAGTAATACTAAGAGAGTCAGAATTGAATCTCGACATTCTGAAAATGCTATCAAATGACGAACTATAAGCTTCCTTTGATTGTCTAATTGTTGGATTGAGATATTTATTACTCAAAGGTTGCTTTGATTTTATCTCTTTATTTATGTATCTTGAGTATGTCTTCGATTCACGTCACTCTTGTCATGGGAGTGAAATCTCTGGGTAGAATTCTGATCCTAAAGATGGAAATATAGTTCCGGACTTGAATTAGCATATTATATGCAGCTGATGGATAAATAATTATTGAATTAGCATATTATGAGCAGACTCAAAACACGTGTCCATCTAAAGATATCCATTTAAAAAAAAAAAAAAAAAAATTTATACCCAATACATTGAGGGGGTTTGGATTGCTTTGTTTTAAAGTTTTTATTTTTATTTTTATTTGTATTTTTATTTTGAAAAATTCATGCTTTAAATAGTTACTAAATTTAGTTCAATAAAACGTTTCAATAATGTTAGGATTTGAAGGGGAATAAGGTTAGGATTTGGAGGGGAATAAAATCATATTCTAAAGAGAGGTTGAATATTTTACTATTTTGTCATTTTATTTTTTATAACGACAATTACACCATTCTTAATTAAATTAATATTATCAAATATAATAACATCATATTAAAATATATTATTATAAAATTAATAATTTAAAATTTTTATTACCAAATAAATTTAAAAACAATTTAATTATGAAAAATACTAATATTTCACCAAATACCTCACATATTCTTTTATGCAAATTTTATTTTATTTTTTTCCATGAATTGCTAAAAGCGAAAAGAAGTTAATAAAAAATTAAGGGTGATGAATGTCCAATAACGATATTGCCTCACACAAGGGTAGTTTGGTAATAACATCCCCTTAAACAAGTTCCCTATGCATTATATAAAAAGGGTTTCCATAGTGAGACGAATCACTGATTTCTTGTTCTCTAATTTACCCGACTCTCCTGAATCTCAAAATTTTTGGCTCTCTAACTGCGGCGATGACTGACGGAGAAGACGCAGCGCGACGCCTCACTGCGATGGCTGACTACCGTAAAAAGCTCCTTTCGCATAAAGAACTCGAATCTAGAGTACGCTCAGGTCTGCCCATAGCCCTAATGCCAAACCCTAATTCAATGCCTAATGATCTATTTTTTTGTCTATCATTTTTTGCAATTATACATATGGAATTTCAATAATCTTATACGATTTATGACTGATTTCAAATTATTGCTTGCCTTCACCCTCGAATTGTCTTATTTGCCGAAAATCTAAGTAAAAATATTATGTGTCCTCTATTTTGTTCTTAGAAATAATCGAAGAAAAGAAAGCACAGCAAGTGTCAAAATTAGTGAATGAATGTAATCTATATTGCTTATGTTTTCAGACTTTTGATTATAGAGACAAATACTATTTGGACAGAAATTATGTGTTGACAGGATATATATATTCACACACACGAATATACATATATATGTATTTTGGAATGTACTTTGCGGTTGATGTTGGATACACCGCAAACCACATTAGCTAATTATGCTAGTAGTTAATGCTGATCTAATTTGAGTGGGAATTAAAATATTGCACATGTTTCCAGACTTCTCAATAATCAATTTTGATTGTGAAAACAATACTATTTGGACTGAAATCAATCAAACAATACTATTTGGACTGAAATTAAGGCATGTGTGACGACATGTTCTTTCACTTCAGGACTGTTGCAGTTGATGTGTGTGTATATATATATATATATATATATATAAATATATATTCGGAAAGTACTTTGCGTATGGTATATCCAATACCAAATGCGCATTTGTTAATTGTTCTAGTAGTCAATGCTGATCCGAGTGGGGATTTAAAACATGCAGTGAGGGAGAATTTGCGAGCTTCCAAGAAGGAGTTCAACAAAACAGAAGATGATTTGAAGTCTCTTCAGAGTGTTGGGCAGATCATTGGAGAAGTTCTCAGGCCTCTTGACAATGAACGATGTAATTACTCTTTTATGTACTTTTTCTCTTTTCCTTTTGCAATGTAACTTGTTTGTCATTTCTATTTAGATGTTTTGTTCTACTATTGAACCTATTTGTTCAAAATGTGAAGCAAATAATGTTATTCACCGGGAGTTTCAAACCCCCAAAAGAAAAGCAGAGATTAAGGTGTTCAATGAGATACCTCATCATGCACTTTAGTTAATTAAACTGCTAGATGTTACTTCAAGTAACTGGAGGACCTTTTCTATTTGAATTTGAACTTATATTTACTCAGAGAACTTTTCTTGAACTGGTGTAACATATCAACGACATTGATTGCTTGCATATGTGGTATTTTAGTGATTGTTAAAGCAAGCAGCGGTCCTAGGTATGTTGTTGGATGCCGTAATAAAGTTGATAAGGAAAAACTGACTGCTGGGACGAGAGTGGTACTTGATATGACGACACTGACAATCATGAGGGCTCTTCCACGCGAAGTAAGTTAATATGATTTTTTACTTGTAGACTTTATAACTGAGGCAATATTGATTATCCTATTGTTTACTCCCTTTCAACAATATGTATGTAATGATGTTGAGAATGTAACGATACATGGTGATGCCTGATGCTGAACATTATGTATAATCTGTTTGACAGGTTGATCCCGTTGTTTATAACATGCTCCACGAGGATCCTGGTAATATCAGTTACTCTGCTGTGGGTGGTTTATCGGATCAAATTCGAGAACTTAGGGAATCTATTGAGCTACCTCTCATGAATCCTGAGCTCTTTATTAGAGTTGGAATCAAGCCTCCCAAGGTGATTCATGTTTTTTGTGGTGATTATTTTGTCATATATTGTTTATTTTCTGCGTCATCATTAACATAGGCCCAGTGTTTGTGGGGAATGATATGTACTGGTGGCACAAATTCTGATCAGTAGGCATCTCAAATATTGATTGTTTCAGGGTGTTCTTCTTTATGGCCCTCCTGGTACTGGCAAGACACTGTTAGCTAGAGCAATTGCTAGTAATATAGATGCCAACTTTCTAAAGGTTAGAACTGTATTTTGCATCTCCTGCTTTTGAGTACCCTTCTGATGAACATTATCTAAGAATTTAGTACTCTTTTTTTTTTTTCCCTATCTGATTCTAGGTTGTTTCAAGTGCCATAATTGATAAATACATTGGGGAAAGTGCAAGGTTGATACGAGAAATGTTTGGATATGCACGTGATCACCAAGTAAGATCCCGGATTTCTGCAGAATGTTTATTGCCTTGTGGTATCTTATAACTAATTAATGAAAATATTTCTGATGGTTTACTTCTATTTTTCAAGCCCTGAATCATCAATGTTTATCTCCTTGTGGTATCTTATGACTAAAGAAAGTATTTCTGACGGTTCGCTTCTATTTTTGAAGCCCTGCATCATCTTTATGGATGAGATCGATGCAATTGGTGGACGCCGTTTCAGCGAGGGAACAAGTGCTGATCGTGAAATTCAAAGAACTTTGATGGAGTTACTTAATCAGCTTGATGGATTTGATCAGCTTGGGAAGGTATCTCTTGGTTCACACCCATTCCTAGATGATTGTTAAAAGTACTCACATGAATAGCACAAAGGCACATGACCACACACTTTTCCCTCAAGGGCTGGTTTTTGTTGAAAATCTCAAGAGAATGGTGGTGCCTCGTTGGTGATCATAGACTTTCACTTAAGTTTTTCACTCAACTAATCATAAACCTTTAATTCATGCAAATATCATTGGTAAATGTATATTTCAGTGATGTCTCAAATAAGATTTCAATATGCTATAGGTATATGACCTCGATGTGGAGTGAGAAACTTCACAGACACAGGACTAAGATGACCATTTAATACATTTAAAATCTGATTCAGGCTTGTCATCACTCTCTGATTAATAATAAATGAAATTTAAAAGCCCCGTTAAAATCTCTGTTTGTGTGTGTGTTGTTCCATTTATGGGAGGTGAGCCCCGGAAAGATATTTTTATCCAATCACATATTAGCTGTGCACTTTATAATGTGGGCTTCTTGCACACAAGGATGAAAAAACATAGAATTGTTTGTTAGTGTTTTGTGTTTTCATGTGTGTTAACTCTGCATCTTTTTTTTACTGCCAATTTTTCTATACAAAATATTTTCTTTATAATTGGGAAAAGAAAATCTAATAACGTCGAATTTGTGCTACAGGTAAAAATGATTATGGCAACAAATCGACCTGATGTTCTTGACCCTGCTCTTCTTCGCCCAGGACGTCTAGACAGAAAGATAGAGATCCCATTGCCAAATGAGCAATCAAGAACGGAAATTCTTAAGATCCATGCTGCTGGAATTGCCAAGCATGGAGAGATCGACTATGAAGCTGTTGTAAAGCTTGCAGAGGTGAGTCAAAAGAACTAGTATATATCAACAATTTACTGTCGGATCTATAGTATAACTTTTTCCTCCAATTTGTTTAGGGCTTTAATGGAGCTGATCTTCGTAATGTATGCACGGAGGCTGGAATGTCAGCAATCCGTGCAGAACGTGATTATGTCATCCACGAAGATTTCATGAAGGTATATCTTCGTAGCATATGATTCTCTCTATCTTATTTTGTACTGTAGTTGAATTTTTGGGTATTGGTTGTCATCACTATAGAGAATTCCTGTACGAGGCTTTCTATTCTGTGGATGAATAGAAGTAAAATGAAGTTTGTGTGTCTTTTAACAATAAGGGGATGTTTGATGTGCCCATTGCATCATGTAATTTTGTAGGCTGTTCGGAAGCTGAATGAAGCAAAGAAGCTCGAATCAACCGCACATTACAACACTGATTTTGGGAAAGAGTAGAAGTAAGATTATTCGTTTCTCAGAGCCATGGATATTAGGGCAGTGCGTTTCCTTTACTTCGCTACCAGCTACATAAGCTGGATCTTTTAGAACTCTGCTGCACACTTTAAAACAGTCCTGTTCATTGGTTCAGTTATGACTTGTATTTCCTAAGCGGCTTGAAAAGATGACCAGCTGCATTGAAGGGGCAAAATGTATGTTGTGTGGTGAGATTCTTTCTTTTTAAGAATCCGAATTTAGTTGCTGGTCTGTTCTAGTTGATCTGGGAGGTTCAATTCCAATGTAGCCATATATGCGGATTATTTGGAGCTTCCATGGAATGCTGGTCATTCCATTGTTCTCGATAGCACGTCTGGTATTGTGCTTTTTGTTGTTCCAAAATGGGTTTTAAAAAAAAGCCATATTATGATTTGATCTGATAACTTTATTTCTGATATCTAGCATTTGTTTGTGAAGTGTTTTATGGAACCCGGTGGATGATTTCATTTTGATGCTTTATTATAAAATTGTAATTGCGTCAAACTGCTTGTTCAAGTGTTCATTGTTATTTTCTAATGTTACCAACAATACAAATCAAATGTATTGCTAAGGTAATTCTTATTTGATGAAAAATTGTAGTTCCAAACTGGTTGTTTTTGTCTCATTGTTGTATAGAAGGCATGCCGTCGGAATCTGGATCCTTTCTGGTGTCATTTCATTCGGTATTTAGATCTTGTAAGCAACAATTTTACCTCGCTTATGCAACAACTTTGCACTACGATACAGTGCGTCTAAACCAGAAGCATATGTTACATGATTTACTTCAGTGGAGGGGATCCAGCTTCATGCCCCTTCGTGGTATTGTATTTAACTTTCTTTTAAATTGTTAAAAACAAGGGTAAAGTATAGCCACACTCTTAGGGTGTGTTTGGATAGTATTAGTAATGAGAGAAAAGAAAAGAAAAGAAAGGATAGTATTAGTGAGAAAAGAAAAGAAAAGAAAAGAAATGATAGTAATAATTTCTATTTGTGTTTGGATAGATAGGAGAGAAAAGAAAAGAAGTGATAGTTATTTTTATTTGGATAAGATAGAGGAGAGAAAAGAAAAGAAAGGATAATAGACAAATTACTTTTTTACCCTTTCATAACCATGGGACTTGAATGGAATAATAAATCTGTCTATTGATTTGTGGAGGATAATTTTGGTATTATCAAAATACCACTAAAATCACTATCCTTTCTCTCACTATCTCTCCCTATCTTCTCAATTTTGAGGAGAAAGCAAATAAGAGATAGGGAGGGATAGCTATCCCTCCCTATCTCTCCTTATCCCTCCCTATCCCTCCACTTAAGTTACCCAAACACAAAGTTACACTATCCTCTCTTTTCTTTTCTCTCCCTATCCCTCCAAATCAACCCTACCAAACACACCCTTAGAGGTTTAGCAAAGATGAAACTTATTTATTTTTTGGATAAAGACATCCCCTAAAGATTCAAAGACGGACAAAGATACCCCTTTATATGAGAAATTGACTGAATTACCTTTTGACCGTTTAGGAGACTTTTTTAACTTTACAATTTAATAAATTGGACCAATCTATTCTTATGAACAATTTATGCCAAAAAAAAAAAAAAAAAAATCCTTTGTTCACTTTTTTTTTTGGTTATTTACTTTATAAATGTCCCAACTTCCTATAAAAATGTAGACGATCCAATACATATATTTCAAATAAATTATATTTTGTTATTACTTTTTTTTCTTTTTTATTTTTAAATTAAGATGTTTAATTCTTTTATCTAAAAAAAATTAAACCAATATATTTTCCTTAAAAATAAAAAATAGGATACCAGTATAACTTTATGCATCTTAAATTATATATCAAATAAAAAAAACAAAACAAACAAAGGCATGTATAAAGTTAAAATGCATAAAGTTATACTGGTACTTATTTTCTTTTATATTGGGAAATGCATAATATTTGATATATAATTTCAGATGTACCATTTTTTTTATTTTTAAGAAAAAGAGATTGGTTTAATTTTTTTTAGATGAAATGATTAAACATCTTAATTATTTTAGACGTCTACATTCTTAAGAAGTTGGGACATTTATAAAGTAAATAACAAAAAAAAAAAAAAAAAAAAAAGTGAACAATATAAAGTTTTTTTTTTTTTTGTACTTTTTTTTATCTATAAATTATTCATGAGGGTAGATTGGTCCAATTTATTAAATTGTAAAATTAAAAAATCTTCTAAACAATCAAATGATAATTTGGTCAATTTTTCATATATAGGAGTGTCTTTGTCCAAAAAAAAAAAAAAAAAAAAAAAAAAAAAAGAAAAGAAAAGAAAAGAAAAGAAAGAAGAAGAAGAAGAAGGTAATTTTTCTCTATAATTTACCCTAAAAAGAAAGAAGAATATACATACCTCTTAAAGGGGCATATTATCATGGTAAACATAAATGACCTAGAGAGGAGTCATAAAGAAAACATTCCCTCTCATAGTCGATCAATTTATACAATTGATTAATTGAGCTATAAGCCTATATGGCATCTTATAATTTAGGACATCCTTTTTAGTGTGATTCTTCCTATTTCTAAGAATGTCTATCGAGAGGACCATTTAATACTCTCCCTATCATATTATTTTTTCTAAATGACGTTTAAAGTCTCTTTCTACAATTTTTTATTTTTATTTTTTTATTATTCATCAAATAATGAAACTTAAAACACACACACACATATATATATATATATGCACAAGTATTGTGGAGGAAGAGAAAGAAAGCAATGACTACATTAATCTTGAGAAGTATACAAGATTTTGTAGGTACAAATAAATTGTGATTGCAGTAGATTAAAACAATCCAAAGTTAAATGGTTGTGATTACAGGGTTGATTCAACTTTTTTAGTTGTAATCCTTTTGGTCAGTTTGTGCTTCACCATCCTCGCAATCTTGTAGAACCAGAAAGCGCTAACCAGCTGTAATCCCAGTGCCATTGCCTGGACAAACAACCATACAACAATTTCAGAAAATGGCGTGCTGAAATACATACATACATACATATATATATATATATATATACATATATATATATATATGAATTTTACCTTTATTAGGAATGGATTGTTGGCATATAGAGTCACATATAATAGATATGGTCCACCCACCATCCTAGCAGATGTGAAAATTACTGCGAATGAAATCTGTCAAAAACAAAGTCAACTGTGAGGCATCACAATTCAGTCATGTAATAACAAAACTGGATCTATCCGTCACATTATGTTCTTGTGTTCAATTCATGTTTAAGAAGCAAAAAGAGAAACTGAAATTGTTTTGAAAGTGACTATCAATGATATCAATTTTGAATAGTAAGGATCCTCTGTTGTACCGCAACGAATGGTTGTGATCGCTCACGCGTGTTACTGCTGAGGATACGACACAATTTTGAAATGCCCATCAAATCATAACGGAACTGTTTTTGTTTTGCATTGTTTCCCATATGCCTATTTTGGAATGCCAATCAAATCAAAACGAAACTGTTTTTGTTTTGCATTGTTTCCATATGTCCCATTTAGAGTTGGAAAATTGAACATACATCGGCTGCCAAATTAAGGTCAGTATCCTTGTAACCAAGCTCTTTGAGAAGCTCCCTCAAGTGTAGGAATGGACTGGAGATCTCTGTTATCCATAAGGCCGCCACCATTTCCGATCCACACTACACATAACAAGTATTATTGTAAATCATCTTTCTCTAATTATCAGAAACAAAATGTTATAACCAATATATATAAGAAATTGAACTCACAAAATATATATATATATATATATTACCATTTCATAGGCCAGACCTGCACCAATTCCAACTATGCTCACTAAATGGTGGACCATATTGTCAAGCTTGACATGTTTGTCTAAGAAGCAACATATTAGATCATAGATCAGATAAGCTTGGGTCACTGCTAGTGCTTGCATCTGCTCAACATTCAAGATCCACCGTATCAAATAACAATAAAACCTTTTTCTTTTTTTTTTTTTTTTAATTTTTCCCACCATTACAGTAGACTACGATTTATGATGTGAAATGTTAGGACTTTCTTAGTTTGTCATTCAGAAAACAATTCTCGAGAACTCGAAAAACAGAAAAAACGAGTAGTGAAATACCTGCTTGGGAGAAGATTTTGAAGCAACGGGACAAACCGGGCAGCTCCAATGTTGTACAGAGAGGGAAGACAGAATCACAGCTAAAGAAGCATGGATTGTGGAGACGATACGATTGCTGAAATCGAAAGAGCGGTTTGGGAAGATCCTTCTTGTCGCTAGAAATGCTGTAGTCCATGAGATGACACCAAATACAACTAAGTTTGTGATATAATCTTCCATGAGATGAGACCAAATGCAACTCACAACTTCTTCAAGGAGATGATGAGTGATTACAATCTGAAAAGCAGATCCATCTGGTTTTTAAAATTTTCTCGAGAAAAAAAAATTAAAGAAAGATGGAGGCAAGGAGAAGTTTGATTCTTCTATACATAACAAAGTTGAAGATGGTCATGAAATAGTATACTGGAAGATGTCAAATAATAATAATTAGGAAGGTTGAAGTTTCAGTTGCAAATTGATATCAGCTATCTGTTTGTAGTTGAACTTCATTAAATTGTTTATGAGAGATCAATTTAGGTGGGGTATGTTACTTGCATTTTTTTTTATCAGTTCTCAACCAAACTTCAGATTATAAAACAAAATGCCAAGCTACTAAACACATATAATCAAAAACTACCTTGTAGTATCCAGATCCAGAAGATAAGTTTTTGAAATTTCGTTTTCGAACTGCACTGTAATTTGAATTAGTGTGTGTTATGAGATCAATATACATGCTCTAAGAAAAAATATATATATATACTAGAATTCTTTTTTTTCCTTTTGAATATATAGAAAATACTTCAATATGAACATTTTATTTTTTCTTTTCAATTTTAAATTACTTTTAATATAAAAATTAAAAAATAAAAAATAAAAAATAAAAAAACAGAGAGAATTTAAAATCGTTTAAAAGTCGATTCTGCCAATTCAAAGGACAAATAGGTGGCCCTTGAAAGGGACATGCACGCTGCCGCCTTAAATGTATTGGTTGAACATTTTCAATGCGGGTAGGGATAGTATCAGCCGGCAGGAGGTACCTTGTTGCTATATTGATTATGCTATCATGTTTATTCGCTGAATAAAAAAATAAAAACTTTATTTTTATTTTTTTATTTGGCTCTTGAAGTCTTTTAATCAATCTTTTGGCCGATAAAAACCAATGTAATTCATTTATTTTTGTTGTACTCAATGTCTACACACTGTAAATAATGAAATTCATTTATTTTTGTTGTACTCAATGTCTACACCATGTAACCAAAGGAACTTTGGCCAATGGTATGATCTCTCCCTCTTCATAGGGAGATGTTGTGATGAGTCAGGTAGGTGGTCCGTGATCCCATTTAAAAGTTTTAAGCTATTACAGAATTCATTTATACTCATTTACTTTTTCATTCGAATCCTATATGAGACAAGATTTCTCTTGTAACATTCACCCCTACTCGAATTTGTAATACCCCTGTTGCAGTCGGGTCACCCTGTCTGTCCGAGTAATACACCCGAACACCTTTAAGCCAAGCGCTTGATATGACACCGGATCAATAATTGAATCTAATTATGATCCCATTTGTAACAGGCCGAGTGATTCACAACTCGGCCTGTTATAGATATCGAGTTCTAAGTTTCATTTTGAATATATTGTGAAATAATTGTATATTTACCTATTTGCTTCAATCTGTCTGATTGTATGATCCCTCCTTTTCTGAAAACATGCCATGCAAGGACGGATTTAGGGGTGGACCATAATTTTTTTTATTTTATTATCATAATCATTTGTAGCCAAGCCCAAAAAAATATATTTATTACTAGTATTTGTGCATTCTTTTTTCTTTTTTTAAGGCCAAAATTAACTAAAAACACTAACTGAACTATCGATACATCTATAGTATTAATCCATCCGGACAACTCTTAAATCCGCCCTTAATGTGCCATTGCAGTGGGTTATCGTGTCTAACACAACCCTTCTCATATAGTATATCTAGTAATCTGTTTGTATAACAAGCCATGAGAATAGTTTTGATTTGTAATTTTCAAATATACCCTCCATAACAAAAGAAAATTGAGTAAATAACCAAGTTTTTTTAATACATGTGTTTGTGTATATATTTGTGTATAAGTACCACCCACTACTACTCTCTCCATTTATAAATCTACAACCCAATTAAATAACTTTTTCCAGAAGGTCAAAGCAGAAAAAAGTCAACAATTATGTTTTCATAGACTTGACTATTTTTTAGTTCCAATAAATCAGTTATTAAAAAATACATAAATAAAAAGAAGAAGAAGAAGAAGAGTCCAACCATTTTTTGAAAACACAAAATTAACTACAAAGACAACAATTATGTTTTCATAGACTAGACTATTATTTAGATTTCTCAAGACTAATACCAACAGCAACAAAGACAACAATGATAAAATACTGAATTTTTATTCAAAATTAGCCCTCGCAACTCTCTCTTCTACTTCTCAATTAATATCCCTATATTTATTCCACTAATAATACAAGCGCAAAAGTCTACATTCAAATCTAATTCCAATTGCGTGTACCCTCCCAAGTTAACGCCTAAATAAATCACTTTGACCAACACATGAACTACTAAAATAACAAAACTCTGTAATCAAGCTTGATCATCTTTCCCACCTTATGCTAAATGCCCCAGTCTGTAGCCACCACATAAGTAACAAAACAAAATCTCTGCAGCCAAAACTTGATTATCATCGCATGTTACCCTCCCGCAAGACATCCATCATATCGTAGATACGCTTTTCTGCCTTTGTTTTAACCTGTATTAACAAAACATTATCAATGAATGAATGCAATAAGAAAATACACTGGGAATTAAGACAGAACAATGTGTGTGCACAATTTACATACACGTACACCATCCCGTCTCAGCCAAAATCTGGTCACCCCTTAATCCCACTAATTTTGCTTTTCATATTACCTTAATTATAACTAAAATGCTAAATCAAAGAATAAGATATTATTTTGAACATTGGGCTATTACAAATAGGAATAGAAAAGGTAAAAGCATATGACTATTAAAATCAATACGACACAGCTATCTCGTGATTCACAACAGGGCTCATATCATTATGAATTGTTAAAATGTTAAGTGAATAAAAAAAAATTATGTAGTATGCAAGGAGAGGAGACAAGCATGAGCACCTGTTGTGCGAGGAAAATTGTAGCATCGATAGTACCCTGCGCATAGATTGATCTACCACAAACATTATGCTGAAACTCAAACGAAACTCTGCAGAAAATACAAAATAAAAAATTTTATGCTTAAAAGTTGAGATGAGAGATCAAATTTATATATATATATATAAGAAAGAATAAAATTACGTTTGATCAGGTGACGTCAGATGATACATATGAAATGCATGACCAGACAGGTACTCCTCTGGGACACCCACCATCTCAATCTGTTGCTTGGGATCACGGATTTTTTGTATCTGATTGAAAATTTTAAATCAGGTTTGAGGACAAGTCGAAAATCCACACAAAGACACAGACACAGACACACATATATAGAGAGAGAACATGTGCTGGTGAATGGTTCCTCGGATAGCTAAGCAATAGATGCAAAATGACAACAAAGTAACAAAGTTTGATCCAAGAGGCAATGCGTCGATGAAAATTTCAGTGTCATGGATTTTTCAAGTTAAATGCAAGAGATATCATGTTTATGAAGGATAGAATATTCATATTTTGTTTTTGAGGTTACTCCTATGCATTTTCAGGTTGCAGCGTAAAAGAAAGAAACCCATAATAGCTAGGAAGCACAGGTGCAACTTTTCTGTCTTTCTAAAATAAATGGACATGCCATGGACATGCACCAAATACTTCATGTACATTGGACTTGCCACGAACACACAGCTGACCCATTGTGGACGCACATGTCAGATTAAAAGTGTTTTTCATTAAAGTACAATGTATGTGAAATTCTTCCAAAAGTTTCAATAATATAGAGATCAAATTTATCAAGCAATTTTAATGCCCTAATTTTTTATGCTTATTACTTGTTTTGGAATACATTGGATCAAAAACAAATAATAAAAGTGTGTGTGTGTGTGTGTGTGTCTCTCTCTCTCTCTTGCAACCAAGCTTCAAATTACTACAATCGACCATCAAAAGCTTGACTACTGGCAAGCAGCCTTCTTCTTCTTAAACAAATACCCTTTTTCTTGTCTTCTTGTCATCTTCTTCCCATCACAATCCCCTTTCTTCCTCAATAGATTCTCTCCTTTATTATCAACAAAACCCTAATTCTCCCTTTTATTTTATTTTATTTTATTTATTTTTAACTATTTCTCTCTATCTCTCTCACACACGCGCGCGCGCACACAACATAATTCCCTCTTCTGCTTCTTTTCTCCTGTACAGCTGCAATCTTTTGTTTAATTTTGGGTTTTTTGATTATTACAAGATTTTTTTTTTGTTAAGTAATAATTGAATTAAAAAGGCGTTCAATAGGGGAACGCATCCCTTATACAAAAGTGGAACCGGGGTTTAAGGCCCCAAAGAAGCCAAAAAAATAATTAAATCTTTGGAAGAGGAATAGGACTTCCTCTTCACATAACTGAAAAGAGAGCGTATGATATGGAGTTTTAGAATCGTCGTGGACGATTCTTTCCCTTCGAACATTCTACTATTCCTCTCATTCCAAATGCACCATCAGACACAATGTGGTACAACTCTCCAATAATCGCGAACAGCACTACGCACGGGACATCCTCTCCAAATACGAATCAAATCCTTAAGATAACGAGGCATAACCCAACGCATACCAAACAGACAAAAAATAAGATTCCAAAAATCCCTCGCTACAGGACAATCCATTAGAATATGAGCAACTGACTCACCATCTTGTTTGCAAAGGCAACACCAGTTAACAAGACAATTATCCATTTTCCTTAGATTATCAATCGTCAGGATCTTACCCTATACAGCGGTCCAAACAAAGAATGCCACTCTAGTTGGAGCCATAGAGCGCCAGATAGTCTTCCACGGAAAATCAACAATATCAAAATCAGATAGACATAAGAATAAAGATCGAACTTCGAAGCAACCATGGGAAGAGGGAATCCATGTCATATCATCACAACCTCTGCCAACTGTCTCCTATTGATACAACAGATCCAGAAAAACACATACCTCGTCCACCCCCCAATCCTGAAAAGAGCACCGAAATTGCACGTCCCACGTAATCCCACTACTATCAAACCGATAATAGTCTGCTACGTAGGCATGTCTATCAACTGCAATACTGTATAATCTGGGGAATAAACAAGATAAAGGCCGGTCTCCACACCAAAGATCCTCCCAAAAGCGTACACACCTGCCATCACGAACTTTAAATCTGATATGAGTGGAAAAAGCATCCCATCCCTTCCGAATGAATTTCCACGCCCCTACTCCTCCCACGAGAGAGACCAGACAAATAGACCAACCACCACTCTCTTCTCCATATCGACATGAAACAAGCTTTCGCCATGGGCGATGTCTTTCCCTCCCATACCTCCACATCCATTTTCCCAAAAGAGCTTGGTTAAAGGGGACCAGTTTTCTGATACCAAGACCACCAAACTTCATTGGCTTGCAGACTTGTTCCCAATTGACAAGGTGACACTTAAATTCTTCTCCTCTTTCGCCCCAAAGGAAATCCATTTTAATTTTTTCAATCCTAGCAGCAATAGAGCATGGAATTTGGAACATAGATAAAAAAATATGTGAGAAGGCTCGATAAAGTGCTCTTTATGAGCGTAACTTTCCCCCCCTTAGACAAGTATTGCTTTTTCCATCCTGCCAATCTCTTCGCATACCTATCAATCACAGGGTCCCAACTCCCCACCGTTCTAAAGGAAACCCCTAAAGGCAAACCCAAATACGGAATTAGAAAAGAACTCACCCTACACCCAAGGACTGCCACTAAAGATGAAATATCCTGAACATCTCCAACCGAAACAAACATACTTTTAGCCACATTAACCTTCAGACCGGAGACAGCTTGAAAACAGGCCAAGATAAACCTCAAATATCTAAGCTGAGACACATCAGCATCATAGGAAACCAGGGTATTATCCGCAAAAAGTAAATAAGAGACCTCCATCTGATGGTCATAATCTCTTCCTACCATAAAGCCCTTAATTAGGTCAAGATCTTCTGCCTTTCTCATAAGTCGGCTTAATCCCTCCATAACAATAAGAAAAAGGAAAGATGACAGGGGATCTCCTTGTCTTAAACCCTGAGAACACCCAAAGAAACTAGTAGGAGACCCGTTAACAAGAACAGAGAACTTAACAGACGAAAGGCATGTCTCTATCCATTTCCTCCATTTACTTCCAAATCCCATTCTCTGAAGCAAATAAAGCAGGAAATTCCAATTCACATGATTATACGCTTTCTCAATGTCAAGTTTGCATAAAACTTCGCAAACACCACTTCTCAATTCAGAGTCTACACATTCACCTGCAATAAGGATTGAATCAAGAATTTGCCGTCCAACAAAAGCATTCTGGGAGTCCGATATAATCCCATCCATCACTCCCCTCATCCTAATAGCAAGAACCTTAGCCATAAGCTTCTATATACAACCCACTAACTAAGCTAATGGGACGGAGGTCTTTAATGTCAGAAGCACCTCCCTTCTTAGGGATAAGAGCAATGAAAGTTGCATTTAGCGACTTTTCAAAGGCACCAGTAGAATAAAACTCCTGAAAAGTGCCTATCACATCGTTTTTCACAACTGCCCAACTTTCCATAAGAAACCGCATAGTGAACCCATCTGGCCCCGGAGCTTTGTCCCCGTTACAACTTGATAAAGCCTTTAGAACTTCTTCTTCAATAAAGGGAATCTCAAGCCCCTCCCTATCGATCTTAGAAATAGCCTCAAACTGAGGACCATCCAGTTTAGGTCTCCAAGCTAGCTGCTCGGTATAAAGCTTCTGATAAAAAGAAGCAATCCCATTTCGCACATCTTCCTCCCTCCACATCTCTACACCTTCCACCCGAATACGTCCTATATGATTACTTCTTCTATTAGCATTATCGAGTTTGTGAAAAAAAATTGTATTACGATCTCCCTCTTTTAGCCAAAGAGCCCGGAATTTTTGTCGCCATGATATCTCCTCCATACTAGCAATCTCAGCCAAAGCTGCCTGACAAGAAGCTCTTCTAGAACGCAAAAACTCCACATCCCCACCCGCCTCTTCTAGGCGATCAATCTCATAAAAATCAGCAAGGACTCTATGCTTCCTCCATTCAAGATTCCCAAAAACATCTTTATTCCACTTCTTAAGATCGAATTTAAGAGCCTTCAACTTCATAGTTAACATGAAGCTAGACGAGCCTGTAACAACGACTCCCTCCCACCAAAGCTGAACTTTCCCTTGGAAGTCCTCCGCTCCTAGCCACATATTCTCAAATCGAAATGGAGACTTTTGAGAACACAAACCTCCACAATCTAAAACCAGAGGAACGTGATCAGATGTGACACGTGCTAAAATTGCTTTAAAGACATTTAGGAATTTCTCTTCCCACTCCCCAGAAATCAAGAAACGATCCAGCCTTGAAAAAGTGACTGGGTCCCTTCCATTTGACCATGTATAGGTTATGCCTTCCATTGGTAGATTAATGAGAAGATGCTCATCAATGAAATCAGAAAACTGATCCATTTCAGAAGACCTCCTTCCTCCTGTGGACCTCTCTAATGGGAATCTAACATAATTGAAATCTCCACCCAAACACCAAGGAAGATACCACATTTCTTGAGCATGGTTTAGCTCCTCCCAGAAAAAAGGCCAATCAATATCGACAATTGATCCATAGACCCTAGTGAAAACCCATCTTAAATTGTCCTCTTCTAATTCGAACTTGCAAGACACTGAGAATCTCCCCACCCATACATCCAACCGAGACAACCATCTACAATCCCACATGACTAAGATACCACCCGAAGTACCTGTAGCATTCAAGACCTCCCATTCCACAAACCTTCCTCCCCACAAACTCCTAACCACCCCATCAATAATGGATGCCAACTTTGTTTCTTGCAAACAAACAACTTGGGCCCCCCACTTCCTTAAAGCTACCTTTACCACCCTCCTTTTATTCGGGTCGTTGAGACCACGAACATTCCAAATAATAATTCGTAACTTTATTAAAAACCAGATAAGATGATCTCCCCTCCACCCATCGTCAAACTCCAACTCCTAGTCCTTCCCCTCTCCCTCACCACCCATTTCTTCCCTTCATAATTAACTTCAGAGATAAGATTCTTGATCTCTTGTGCCCCTTTCTAGGACGAAATAGGCCTCGTGTTCACTACCTCTTCAGTCACAGCTACCTCTCTTCCACTATATCTTGAAGAATGGATAGTGTCAGGTCACTGTTCCCCTCTGAAGAAACACCCAATAACTCACTAGCAGCTCTTATATTTTCAACCATCCAGTCCTTACCCAAGTCAACATCTGTTTTTGAACAACCAGGTCTCTCAATAGTCAATGGTTCCTCCATCACTTCAGAAAAATCATTCTCCAGCCAAGGGACAAACTTGTTGGAGCAGACTTGTTGGATGGAAACTAGATCTGTAGCCGCCTCCCCATCACAATCTCTGCCAAAATCAAATGACTCTGTAAACGAGTCAGAATCTGTATTGTAGTCTCCCATTCCACTGCTCAAGAAACTGACCAATTTATTCTCCTCAACCCAACAGACGGCATGCAATTAAAACCTTTCAAGGCTACATAAAGGCAAAGTTCTTTGAGCAAAGCCATAGCTGACTCATTAGACAGCTGAAAGTTTTATAAAGGGATATTTCAAATATCTAATCTAGCCCATGCTCTCTCTTTTGTTTCCTTCTATTTAAAATGAGACAATCAGTGGTGTAGATAATGAGTTATTATGAATTCTGGATTTTTGATTCTTTGGTTGATGAAAAATAATGTCTTATATATTGAAATATATAACCATTTGTTGCATCCCCGCTCCGTTGGGACAAATCCTCTACATCTTTATCTTCACTGTTGTCATCTTCTTGACTTCTTCCCGTCAATCCCCTTTCTTCCTCTACACTCTCTCTTTTATTATCAAATCCCTATTTTTATCTCAACAAATCCCTTATTATTCCTACTTTTTTTTTTAATTAATTCTCTTAGAATAATTCTATCTTTTTTTCTTTTCTTTTCTCTTGTACAAGTGCAATCTTTTGTTTAATTTTGGTTTTTGATTATTGCAAATTTTATAAAGCAATATTTAAAATATCTAATCCAGTCAATTCTCTCTCTTTTTTCTCTCTTTTTAAATGAGATGTCAGTGTCATAGCTAATTAGTTAATGTGATTTGTGAATTTTTTATTCTTGGGTTACTGAAAATTTGTATTAGTCTTCGTAAATTTTAAAATATACAATTATTATTATTTTGTGCCCACGCAGTGTCAATGTCTCAATTTTGAATATTTTGATCTTGGATACAAATCATTTGGGATTTTTAATGAGATTATTAAGTTAATACTTTATTTTGCATTAGATGCCTGGCTAAGCATTGGGTTTTTGGTAATCCCGGGATGTGACACACACAAGTGTAAGGCAGAAATTTTTCCTTCAGGGTGCTCATAGGTGCATTAGAATAAATTTCAATAAAAGTAACTACTCGTATAATGATAGAAACTGAAAAACAAATTTTTTTTTTTTCCTTTCTGTTTTGTATGTGTGTATATTGAATAGGCAGAATAGAGAGAATTTTGATTAATATAACAAAACTGATTTATGTGATCTATATATTAAGGGTTAATTGCAAAAACCCTTGTACCATACAAGTTTTGGCAAGTTGACCACTTGGACTAAAGATAAAGCATATCACCGCCTTTATTTATAAAAAAATGATTGCAAGATACCTCCCTCGGATGTGGGCACCTCACAAATTTTCAATAGTAGAAGGACAAGCTATGAGAGAAGTATAGTTTCAGAAGAACCACTAATAATAAATTAAACGGTTAGTCCCTCCCTATCCAAAAAAATCTAAAGAATGTAACTGGATACTTGCATACTGCTCTAGTATCTTCTTTAGAACTAGAGATAAAAAAAAAACACTGTAATAAACTTGGATGTCCTTAACGCACCTCATCCATTTTAAAAGAGACCCCCAGCTTCTCAAAGCATGAGATGACAGCCTTGGCAGTTCCAGAAGTGTCCAATTTGTTTGATTGATGAGACTCCATCACCTGAAAGTTCAAACAAACATACCAGATGTTAGCATTACTATGCAATATCAACATAATGGTACAAGTCCACCCTCGAATGATAACAAGTTAAGAAATCACCAGTTTTGAGGGAAGTGAATTAGATACAAGTTGGCAACACATTTATTTAAGGGGAGAGAGAGAGAGAGAGAGAGAGAGACAGAGATGAAAGCATCAATGTAAGAGGATTTATCGTTACCCATCAATGAAGAGGAATCATTGTTGCTGTCAATAAAAGAAGGATGAATTCAATTCTTTGTGGGTGTATTATTTATTAAACCGCGCGTGATAAATACATAAATCATCATTATGTCTTTTCTTTCAATCCTAAATATACTCGCAACTGAAACAAACGCTAGGGGAAGTTGCCACAAATTAGCTCATGCATATATTATTACACACATGCACACATATCATGTGGTCTATTGAATGGTTAGGCCTAAGTTCTTGCATGATAAATACATAAATCATCATTATGTCCTTTCTTTCAATCCTAAATATACTCACAACTGAAACAAATGCTACGGGAAGTTGCCACAAATTAGCTCATGCATATATTATTACACACATGCACACATATCATGTGATCTATTGAATGGTTAGGTCTAAGTTCTTACATGCAAATAACTGTAGTTCAATTAAGGAACTGCTAATGAAACAAGAAGCTGCAATATTAAAAGTAAAATAAACCCCATCCACATAAATTATTCAACCTAAATCTACTTCAATGATCTGGTCATCAAGGATAGGATTAAGATTTCCCACCTCTTTACCTCCCTTTATCTTCCATTTCTCCCTCCATTCTTTCCTTTCCATCTCTTATATCTTCCTCTCTTTTCTTCCTTTTTCCCCTCTCCTTTGCTCTCTCTTTTCCTCCTCTCCTTTGCTCTCTCTTTTCCTCTTTTTTTCATTCTTTTCTCTCCCTTTTCTTTCTCCTTTTTCTCAAGCCCCATGTCCCCCGTTTATAGGCGCTGGAAACAGGACACCTGGTCTGTCAGGTGTCTATTTTATTGCCACCTCACATTATTTTGATTGATCAAGATCCACTAACTTCTTTTTTTTCTTTATTTTAGCTTCACTTCTTATCCATAATTACAGTTCAACTTTTAAACCATTTCCTAATTTTATTTATAACGTTCATTAATTATTATATATATATATATATATTTTTGATAAGTAACGTTCATTAATTATTATATTACCAAGGATACCACAGCAATACAACCAAAAGAAAGGAAGAAAACAAGAACTACCTGTAGGGAATACCCAGAAAAGGCTCCAGGAAATTGCTCAGCCATAATTTCCATGGCAGCAAGAAATGCTACAACCTAATCAAAACAACCACCAAAGTTACATAAGGAATACAAGATCAGGGTGTCAAACTACATCACAACCAATACAAGGGTGTTGAATCTTGAACCTGCTTTCCCATTTGAGGGGAGATCACAGCATAAACTTTTGATACTTCTACAGTCTTATACAAACGCTCCCTGTCTCCACCAGTGGTTCCCATTACAAAAGGCACTCCAACTTTGCAATATAACTCTGCATTATCTGTAAATTCCATGATAGTAAAAAAAAAAAAAAAAAAATTCAAAACAATCAAAAACAGCCCCAATGAAAGAGAACTATGGGAAATTTGACCCCTTTGGCCATTATAACCTTAAAAAACAAATCCCTAAGTTAAGGCAGACATAAAACAAGCACCAGAGTCAGGAGGAATAAGGTTATAAATTCAATTTTATGCACAACCCATAGTGTGTGTGGGTCATAGACTGCACCATTATTATGATATATGTCATAAACAAAAATTACAGGGATCTTGGTGAGGTACTTTCGAATTTCCTCTTCTTTTACTTGCACAAGGTTAATTTATCTCCACCTTATATTTTGAACTACGTTTGCACCAACACGGTGTTCCTAGGAGTTAAACGGTAGAGTGTTTGCTAAAAGAAAAAAGAATTTCAATGATAACATATTTTAATAAGTTGACAAACTTTTTTTTCATCGATAAGTGATGAACTTTATTAAGTATTCAAGTGGCAAGGTTCACACACACACAAAAAAAAAAAAAAAAAAAAAAAAAAAAAAAAAAAAACAACAAAAAAAAAACAAAAACAAATTCTAAAAACTTATTAAACCCTTACTTTATACTTTATCGGTATTTTAGCAGATACTATCACTTTATATTTCCGATTTTTTAGTGTGTCCTCCACTTCTATGTTATTGATTTTATTTAACATTGCTATATTAGGTTCATTACACTCAGTTTCTTATTTGGATACTACTCATTTGATAGTTATTAAAATAATTTTTCAATTTATCTAATATATCGCTCTTTGAATAACACTATTTGATCAATGTCCTTAATGCATGTAACTTTATTCATGTCTCCACTCAACCTATTTCTCTCTTTTGTCAACTTGTAAGTAGCTCTTCCACCCTCCTTTGCACATAATTTTCCATATAAATCATTTCTTGCTTATAAGTATATTGTATTCCTGTTCAATTAGCCCTTACATGTCCATTGCAGTCAACTCTATCGATATACTTTCATAACTTGTTACCCATTGTATCATTTCATTTAGCAACTCCTAAAATAACATTTTTTAGTTTCATCTAATGGAGCTTACTATATTTAATACATTTGTGTCCAACACAGTTGTAGTAGTTAATACGATTGTGTCCATGAATACTTACCATTCACTGCAGAAGGTACAGTGTAGTCCACCACAACCAAATTTGGATACTCATCAAAGAGAGATGCTAAAATGTTTTCTCTGTCAGAAGGACCATGAAACTGAATCTCTTTCCCACTGACTTGCACAGTTTTCCCGGACTCCTCTGCACTACCAAATGATACAGGAAGAAGATGAAGCCCTTCAGAAACCGCTGCTTCAATAACCGCCTTTCCCATTTTACCACCACAACCATTTACCTGCAACAGAATATTATAAACACAGAAGTATGAGACAAATCAACAACTAGCCTTCTTGAGATAATAGGGTAAGATTACAAAAATAATTCATGCTAAAACTTTTTATCTTCCTTATAGGGAGTATAAGGTCACATCGAAGTGTCAGTATCATATAGTGTTCGTCTTCTATTATCGTTGTCCATGTTTCATAACTAAGCACTAAGAAATGCATGGTACAAAGACCAGCACCAATGTTGTAAAAAGGCACGAGTCTAGACCCATTGCTAGCATGAATTTATGAACACAATGGTGAACCACCCATATAGCATGGACAGCGTCATATTCACTCCTAGGCTCCAAAAAAGCCTAGGCTTGTCACAGTTCAGCCTATGGAACGCCTCAACCTACTACAATTCAATTGATCTAACAGGTCCGAGATGAACCATAATATGACATATTAGAGCCTATAGCATCACTCTGAAGTTGTGAATCCAATTATATAAATATATATGTGTGTGTATGTATATTGAGACCATAAATAGAATTTTTTAACCCCGGCATTTTCTTTTGAATCTCAAATATTCCAAAATTCTTCGTGCAGTCAAAGTGACTTTTTCTGTCAGCAAAAGACTGAATCATGCAATCCTCTTGTGCATAAACCATATTTAGATGAATTACATAAAAGAGGAATTTGTGTGGAGAACCATAGAAGGAATACCTAGAGACATAAAAGTTCAGTCTGAAAATAAATAATCATTTAGACAATGAGCATTACTATCTCATTACTCTTCTCCACCAATGCACCAAATGTAATGGAAACTTGTAGTTGGGAATACCCATACCTAATTAATCAACCGTTCAAAAAAGAACTGCAAATGGAATAACCAGTGAGTGTTGCGATACCTAGAGGTATTTGTATGAGATAATGAACATAAAATGGAAAATAGAGAAAGTAATGGAAACATATAAACCATCAATGGAAGCGGAACAATTGATTCTATCGGTAGATCTACAGGAAACTAGAAGTTGATCTGGGGATCACAAGGAAAAGGCTCTTCCAATCTCAGTCTATTTCTTATAACAAGTGAAAATTCCTATTTTGCACTTTCTACTCCCATTATCCTTCCGTTTTTATCCTTTTGTTTCTTTTCTTCTCTCTCATAAATAGTGATATCCTTTCCTTTCATTTCCATACTACTCATCAAAACACATTGTCACAGTTCATGTTAACCATAAATAAGTTGATTGGGAGAAAATAATACGTATACATATATCATATAGACAGAGCTAATAAATGCTTCCCTGTCAGCTATGGATGATGAGTAACATTGGGTATATTAACACGAGAGTACCATGATTGGAAGCCCGAGGTTTTGTGATGCAAACGAAGCCTTCTCAAGAAATTGCTTAGCTGTGTTTGACATGGAAACTATTCGATTTGATAATCTTTGCTTCCTAAACGTAGTCCTAGTCCATGTTCCACCTCCTGGTAGGGCCACAAGGTTCCTTTGTTGTTGAAAGATATCATTCACCGGCACTCGAAGAACAGATGCCATAATCTGCAACAAGGATAATTAAATTCAATACACAGAGCAAGTGAGCAACATATCCAGGATTGATGACTTGGTTAAGCACTCCAAAGCATAAAATAGAAAAATAGTGAATGTAACAACTTCGTTGAGCACACAGTTTGGATTGGATCGGATTGAGTTAAAGCTTAAAAGGTACACTGGAACCAATCCAATCCTAATGGTTCCATGAGAATTGGAACTGAATCGCCTAAAGCAAATCAATAGGAACTGAATCACCTACTGATCCAGCCACTCGCTGCAAAGATTGCTTGTTGGGTGGCTCGCACCTTGGTTGGTGCGCAGAGCCACCTGAATGTAGCAACACAAGCCTAAGAGATAGTGCAGTGGGTGTTGGTTTCTTCATTATTTTAGCAAAATATGGAAATTAAGTCCTTACAAAGCTTCAACTCGAGCCCAATAAGCAATGGTAATCGCTGGCTCATAGAATTGGAGCAATTCAATATATCATATATTTATAACCTTCAATTCTAGCTCAAAAATCTCCTAGCCAGGGCTCCAATTTTTCCAATATATACATGAAAGGGTCAAGTTCATAAAGGTTACTCGGTGAGACATTTTATCAAACAATTGGTAGACAATATATATTGATGTTTTTTTCGTTAGACAGCGCAGTGGGTGCTGGTTTCTTCATTATTTTGGCAAAATTTGGAAATTAAGTCCTAACAAAGCTTCAACTCGAGCTCAATAAGCAATGCTAATCGCTGGCTCATAGAATTGGAGCAATTCAATGTATAACCTTCAATTCTAGCTCAAAAATCTCCTAGCCAGGGCTCCAATTTTTCCAATATAGACATGAAAGGTCAAGTTCATACAGGTTACTCGGTGAGACATTTTATCAAACAATTGGTAGACAATATAAATTAATGTTTTTCTGTTCTGTGGTGCAACCAAACACCGGAATAAGAGAGGGAAAAAAATCCGGGAAACATTTCTTACGTTGAAACAAACGGGTGAAAAGAAAAAAAAAAAAAGTAAATTTGTAATAGCAGACCTTATGTTTCCATCAACACTAACTGTACGAAAGAAATCAGAAAAATGGTGATCGAGAAAGAGTGCATTGTTCTGTGTGTGTGTGTGTGCGGGAGAGAGAGAGAGAGAGAGAGAGAGAGAGAGGGACGAGAGAGTACTAACACTGCTGTTGCTGTTGTAATGAGATTTCCCAGTGGTGGCTGCTGGAAAGAGATGCCGACGGGTGGGAGAGAAGATGCAGTGGCTGGTGGCACGAAAAAGAATTATAGAAACGAGTTAAATCAGCTGGGACATACACATGGGCTGATGGATTTGATTAAACAACTCATTGGGCCTTTATGAATCATAAGTTTTTGTGCTACTCATTGGGCCTCTAAGGTTTCTTTTTCTTTTTCTTTTCTATTATTATTATTATTTTTTTCCTTTGTGTTGTGTTAATTTTCATAAAAAACCTAGAAATGAATGAAGGATCTTTCTTAGTTCGGTAGAGATAATATAAGGAAAGAAAGGAGAATAAAAAGGATGACCCATCCTTCCTCCTTTATAAATTTTCAACCACCCAAAAATGAGCGATAGAAAGGAGGGAAGAATGAAAGACAAGTGAATTGTTATAAAAAATTTAAATTAAATGCTGTCATAAATTATACAAATTTTATTATCTTAAAATAAAATATAATATTACAAATATTATTAGATATAATTGTAAAAACAATTAAAACAAAATCCATAGGCAAAACAAGAATTACAGACCTTGATTAATTGATTTAGAAAGAAAAAAAATAAAGACAAAACCCATACATACAAGTTAGCAATTGGAGAGAGAGAGAGAAGCTTGAGAGTTGAGAAATAGCGGCTGAAGCTTGCGAACGGCAAACCCGAACTGGAACAGCAGGCGATGGAAACTAAAAGATATGGGTTTTGATTTTTTGAACAATCTGAAATGATATGCCGATATGGGTTTTTATATAGGTAATAGGTTTTCAACTTTTGATTATTGCAGACAGATAGATTAGCTGAAGTATATGGGTTTTGAACTTCTGATTCTTGTAGATTTTGTAGTTTGCAGTTGCAGAGACAGAGAGAGGGTGAGTTCAAAGTTGAGAACGAGAGCATAGATGGAGGCGATTCGGGAGGCTGAAATGATTTGCCCTTAAATATTTTTTTTTTTGGTGGCCCATCATCCATGGGCCTATAAATTTTGAGGCCTTGGTCGCCTTGGGTCAGGGTCGGCCCTGAAATTTATTACAAAGTATCATTTAAGAGTTGCAAGGAAGGTGCATTACACGCATGCAAACGAAACCAATAAAACAGCAAACGATTTTCAACTCTTAAATGATATTTTTTAAAAGGGGGCTATATTTGCACTCCATTTTTTTTTTTTTTTTTTTTTTACGTTTGTACTATAAGTTTATATAAAATGGCAATTCTAACCTTAATTTTACAAGTAAAACATTGTTACTTTTTAAATGACACAACTGTCCTTTCAGATTTCCTTTTTATCTCTAATCTTTAATATTTTAGGTGTCTTTTAGCAAGAAAAAAAAAATTTAATTTGAATAAATTGCCTCGTTTGATCGGACCCCAAAAAAAAAAAAAAAGATTAAAAAAAAAAAAAAAAGTTATCTCTATTGAATAAATTATCTATTTTGATAAGACAAACACAAAAAAAGGTTATTTCTATTGAATAAATTATTATTTTTTACCGGACTCATAAAAAATTACCAACAAAAAAGTTACATCTTTTGACAGGAGCGAAAAAAAGTTTAACTTTGTTGAATAAATTATTTCTTTTTATTATAAAAAATAATAATAAAAAATATTCACTATTGAATAAATTATCTCTTTTTACTGCCAAAAATAAAATTATCAATATGAAATCATTTTTCTTCTTTAAGAGGATATCGAAAAAAAAAAAAAAAAGGTATAACACAGAAAAAAGAAAAATAGTAAAAGAAGTAAAGAAGGTAAAAAAAAAAATTAAAGTTACATAAAGGGTAGTTATGACATTATAAAATAAGCAATGATGCATTGATGAATTGAATTACCTTTTTGTCATTTCCTTTAAAAGAAAAAAAAAAAATGTAAGTGAAGTGGAATCGGAGAAAAATGAAATGTCCCTTTTTAAATTAATCATTATATTTTTCGAAGTTGCAACATTCTTTTACCAAACATGCTTTCATATTTTTATTTTCAAAAATTTTACAACAAATGAACTGTTAAATATATTGTAATATATATATATATATATATATATATATATATATATACACACACACACACACGTGTCTTTTGATTTTAGGTTGCAACTATTCAGATGATACGTGACTTTTGGTTTGCACCTTCTGAATAAATTGCAACTATTAAGATGATATGTGACTTTTGAATTGCACCTTTTGAATAGGTTATAACTATTCAGAAGATATGTGACTTTTGGTTTGTAACTTTTGGAAGTTTATAACTAGCGATGGTGCAGCACATTCTGAATATACTTTTTTTGGTCTCTTTCTTGTTTTATATCTAGTCATAACAGTTTCAACGAATGTTTAGAGAATTTCTTCAGTATTGCTAACTGCAGGAACTCAGACTTTATTGTATCCTAGGAGTGTTTTGCTACAGAACCCGTTAGCAAACTCAATTTGAGTGGGGGCAAATAACACTTAAAGGAAAGTGAATACACGCCTCAAAGTCTGTATTTTGTTTGGGTTTTCACATTGGAAAAGTTGATATCAGTTTGCTTAAGAAGGTTTGGTTATCTCCAATAATTTCTGGATCAATTATTTTAACAATCTTAAAGTGTTATTTGGATGGAGACTATATCAGACAATACTATGTTCAAGGTTATGAATCAAGATTTTGTGAAGTTAGATCGATTTGATGGATCTAACTTTACTCGTTGGAAGGATAAATTAATGTTCCTATTCATTGTTCTTAAAATCTCATATGATCTGAATCCAAATCTCCAACCATTCCCAGAGCCAACAGATAAAGATATAGAGAAAATGATCGAAGATAGGAAGAAACGAGAGAAAGATGAATTGGTCTGCAGAGGTCACATTCTGAACACACTTTCAGACTGACTTTACGATCTTTATACTCTTATGAAGTCTCCTTGGGAAATTTGGAATGCACTAGAATTCAAGTACGAAACTGAGAAACTAGGTACGGATAAATTTTTAATATTTAAGTACTTTGAATTCTCAATGGTTGATAATCTGTCAGTTTTAGATCAAGTTCATGAATTACAAGTTCTAGTCACAAGCTTCGTGAAGTGAAAATTGTACTTCTAGAATCCTTCCAAGTGGGGGCTATCATTTCAAAGTTGCCTCCTAGCTGGAATGATTATAGAAAGAAACTTCTGCATAAGGCAGAAGAATTTACTTTGGAAGAAATACAGAAGTATTTACGAATTGAAGAAGAAACTCGGATTCGTGATAAGAAATATTATGTTAAAGATTCTTCCAAAGTGAATTATGTGGATGGAGGCAAATCAAATAAATATCAGAAAAGCCTCAAGTTGAAAAATAAAGGGACTTTCAAAAGGAATCATCCTTATAAGAATAAAAATCCTTCTGGACCATGTTTCCATTGTGGAAAGAAATGACATTTTATTTGTGATTGCAGGTACAAAAAGTACGAAAAGAAAGAGAATGCCAACAATTCAAACAATGCTACTATAATGGAAGAGAAGATTTCAGATTTTGTTGTTATGGTGTCTGTAATGCAAATTGGCATGATAACTGAGTTGAACATGACAACAGTAACTAAGTCTTCAGATTGGTGGCTTGATTCTGGGGTTACTATCCATGTTTGTAATGATAAATCACATTACAAAACTTATGAATCTGTAGATGATCAAGAAGTTCTGATGGGAAATCACAACTCTGCCAAAGTTTTGGGAAAAGAGAATGTTGAAATTCAATTTACTTTAGGAAAGAAGTTGACATTGCAGAATGTTCTTCATGTTTCAGATTTTAGAAAGAATCTTGTATCTGCAAATTTATTATGTAAGAGTGGCATTAAAGCTGTGTTAAAGGCTAATAAGTTAATTCTGTCTGAGAGCTGAATTTTTGTTGGGAATGGTTATGCTTGTGATGGAATGATTAAACTAAGTATTAATAAAATAAGTCATTCTACTTATATTATTTGTTCTTCTTCTATTTGGTATGCATGTTTAGCACATTTAAATTTTAAATCTTTAAAGTATATGTCAAACCATAGTTTTATTTCTTGTCGTGATGATTGTAATGATAAATGTGAAATTTGCATTGAATAAAAAATGACTAAGAAACCTTTTTCTAAAGCCAATCGAAATTCACAACTATTAGAAATAATTTATTCTGACATTTGTGAATTAGATGAAAAATTAACTAGAGGATGAAAAAAATATTTTATAACTTTTATTGACGATCGTTCTAGATTTACTTATGTATATCTAATAGCTAGTAAAGATCAAGCTTTTGACATGTTTAAATGTTAGAAGGCTGAGATTGAAAATCAAAAGGAAAAGAAAATAAAAAATCTTCGTAATGATAGGGCTAATGAATATTTTTCTAATGATTTTTCTACTTATTGTGAAGAATATGGAATAATAAATCAGAAAAGTGCACCTTACACTCCACAATAGAATGGTTTGGTTGGAAAAAAAAAAATAGGACACTTGTTGATATGGTTAATTCTATGTTATTGAATGCTAAGTCACCTATAAATCTATGGGATGAAGCTTTACTTACTGCTTGTTATGTGCATAATAGAATTCCATCTAGGAAAACACATATTTCACCTTCTAAGATTTGGAAATGAAGAAAATCAAACTTCGAATATCTTAAATTGTGGGAGTGTTTAGCCTTTTATAGAATTCTTGATCCAAAGATAACTAAATTAGGTCCAAGAGGAATAAAAAGTGTTTTTGTGGATTATACTGAAAATTCTAAATCCTATACACTATTAGACTTAAATTCTAATGTCATTATTGAATCTAGAGATGTTGAATTTATAGAAAATAAATTTTGTCATTTTTTTTTTTTTTTTGTCTGAACCAATTTAAAGAAAATCTAATGATTTGGAATCCAATATATCTCTTAGAGATAAAAGAAAAATAAATGATGAAATGACTGTACCTAGGAAAATTCAAAGAATTAGAAAAGAAAAAGCTTTAGATCCTAATTTTATTTCATCTCAAGTTATAATATTTCTTGTAGAAGGAGATAGAAATAAAATTCTTAATAAAATATCCATTTTATTGAATATAGAAAATGATATTAAAACATTTTCTGAAGCAATGGGTTCAAGAGATGCAGCTTCTTGAAAAGAGGCTATAA